GGCAAGCTCGCTGGGTGGACAGTTGTTGATTGGAGAGTAAGGTGAATCGAAGAGCCAATCCCAGTCCGTCAAGTTTGTAGGTACTATGTTTGTTACTCAATGCGTCGGTCTTCAACACATACGCGGTTCTGGGTTACGTACGATCGATAGGTGGTTGCTTTGACTTGAAAATCACCATCTTGATCCAATAAGTGTCTTGAAAGTTTAAGAAGGCGATATCTTGGTCAAGACCGGTGTATATGAAGCCAAAGCAGAAGTGATGCAGTCCGATAATAAATGGTGCAAAGGAATGAGTGGAATTGAGGAACAAGGATTCGTAGAGCGGAAGAATTCATAGGAGCTAGCAGACAAATGAGGATCTCCATCCTCGGTACATCTGTCTCCATCGGATATGCAGCTCTCAATACGATGGCGGAGCGGGGACAAAGGCCTCTGTAAGGCGGGGTTGCATGCACTACCCGAGTCATCTAAAAGCGGTTAAGATCGCCATCCCCACTGATACCTTCCCAGATAACACTAATGCCAACATACACCGGTGTACATACGTAGGGATTACTTCACTGCCACACAACGGGCCTTTTGGGAGAGCGGAGGGGATTTTTTTTGCAAAGAATGCACTGTGTTGACTCCATCCATTGAAGCTGTTCCTCTGCAAGCAAAAGGCCCCCACATCCCAGTACTGTAACTATCAACCATACCAACATGTCCGAAGAGTCAGAGACACCTGAGCACGACCCTGTCCTAAGAGTACAATCAAACAAGGACCTCCATATAACCCTAATCGGCGCCGGAACAATTGGCCTCTCATTCGCCGCCTACCACCTCACCCACCTCCTCAGCCCCTCCCAACTAACAATCTACGACACACGACCAGACCTCGACCAGCACATTGACCAAAACCTGAGCGAGCTCTTTGCCGACGCCCCCGCAAAAGCAGCAATAGACAACATCCGCGTCGCGACCTCGCTCACCGAAGCCGTCTCGGAAGCGCACATTATCCAAGAATCCGGACCGGAGAACCTCGCTTTCAAGCGGCAGCTTTGGGCTCAGGTCGAGCAGCATGCGCCGGAACACTGTTTGCTCTGGAGCAGCACGTCTGGGATCCCGGCGTCGGCGCAGGCACAGGATATGAAGGATAAGTCGAGGTTGCTAGTCGTGCATCCGTATAACCCGCCGCACGTGATGCCGTTGCTGGAACTAGTTGCGTCGCCGCATACGTCCGAAGACGTTATTAAGAGGACGCAGCAGTTTTGGGTGGACAGGGAGAGAGTACCGGTGCATATTAAGAAAGAGACGACGGGGTTTGTGGCGAATAGATTGGCGTTTGCGCTGTTGCGTGAAGCTGTGCATTTAGTCAATGAAAACGTGGTTTCTGTGGAAGAGCTGGATAGTATTGTGGAGAGTAGCATGGGTCCGCGGTGGGCGGTTGCGGGGCCGTTCAAGAGTTATCATGCTGGAGGGGGGCCGGCGGGGCTAGAAGGCTTCTTTAAGAATATTGGAGGAACGGTGCAAGCTTGCTGGGATGATTCAGGGAAGCCAAATGTTGGTGATGGGTGGGAGGAGAAGATCTTCAAGCAAGCAAAGGAGACATACGGACAGGTCGATGTTAGCGAGCGAGATAGAATAACAAGAAGGGTGTTAGAAGTGCTGAAAGAAGAGAAGAATCGGAGCGCTTGAAATCATGGGAACTAAAGAATTGAATTTCCTCGTCTAGATATCGTTTCACACAACCAAGTCCTCTATAACCTAAGCGCCAAAAAACCAGTTCTATCGCTTACATGATAAGGTACAACCCCATGATCAAACTTGGCCCAATAAACATACCAAACCAAAATATAACGTTACCCAGCGTGTCTCTTCCCTTCATAAACCTACTTTTGCAAAATGCTGCTTGGGGTATCTGTGTAAGTTGAAATGCAAAGAGATATCCTCTGACCTTCTTGAAGAGACAAAACATGACGACCTCATGGACGACGGCGCTCAGGAAAAAGGTAAAGAAGGTGGCCTGCATCCTCGACATGTGAAAGAAAGAAATTGAAGAATGATAGACGTGTCGGAGCAAGAAGTTGTGGACAGGCCTATTCCAGTCGCGAGCATACTGGTCAAAGGAGGTAGAATTCCACCATGGACCATAGAAGCCCCGGTCGGCAAACCGCGTGAGTTCCGCTAGTACATTGAGGAGACATTCCCAGATGACGTAAAAACTCAGGAGTGATTCGAGAAGCATGGGAAACATCACATCAGAGACTAGTGGAGATGACGTTAGCAGATAATGTCAAGTGTGAAGTACAGGTTACTTACCAATCCATGGAAACTCTTTCCACCCTTGATCGAGCGACATACCAGCTTCCTTCCGTCGAACAGTTTCTACAACAACAGGGTAGATGTACGCTTGCGAAATGATAATCATGACCCAAATGCCACCCAATGTAGCTGCCGACTTCTCGGCAACGTACCACCAGTTGATACGATCCTGGCGTGGATACTCCAAGTCGTAAATGAGCGTGGGGAAACATGACCATTCCAAGAAGTTGTAGAACTTGAGGTTGCTAGGATAAATGTTATCCGTTGTTGTGCATTTTCCACGTAGATCCTCATTGAGGATTGTAATCTCAGTGTTCAACACGCGACGGAACCCCTCTATCTGTTCCAAGTCGAGCGGCTTTCCAGAGTCAATAACTTGACTAATACTTGCGATTTCCAACTCTTCTTCTGACAATTGTGGAGAGTATTTGCGTCCTCGGCGGATCAAATCACTTTCATTGGGGTTTCCAATGCTGGTAGCAGTTGATGGCTCTGGAAGACGCGTCGTTTCAGTCGAGCCTTCTTGTGCTTTCATAGCATCCAGCTCTCGAAGCATGTCCTGCAAGACATTCCGTCGTCTATGAACTCGCGATACTGCTCATAATCAGCTCAGCCCTCGGTATTACAGGAAGGAGACTTACAATAGCCGTTGTAGAACGCATAGGCATGCTGCTTCATCAACAGCACAAATACATGCAGAACAATGAAGACGGTATGGGTCCAAGGCCACTCACGCCAAAAGGTGATCCATATGAAAGTGCAGGTAAAGAAGGCTTGCCACAGCGACTGGATAATCCACCCTGAGCCATTCCACGTCAAGTAGTCTTCTGCAATGGCTTTCTGTAGGAAGAAACCAAAGATGGTCGTTGCGCACATTGCAAGATCAGTTGCCAGCATGACGAAAAGGTCTTTGTCGACCATCAGATGCAGGATCTCTGCATCTCCAAAGATAGAGCCTTTGGTTCGGTAGTTGCCGGCTGCGATTCGTATGAGCAACAAGGCCATGGCAAGCCAGAAAAGAGTGAAGAAGCCATGAAAGGGCGACTGTGAGGCAGTTGCATTCTGACGATCGAACGTTGTGTATTGCTGGGTGAAGATAAGATCTCTTGGCCGACCCCTGGTCTGACGGTTCAGCTTCTCAGCCTCCCGCCGGAGCCCAGTTTGTAAAGCCTCTTGAAACTCGGGATCTTTGGCGGTGAATTTATACTCGCCTTTCTTTCCGGATTTCTCTAGTACGACTTCGATGCTCTTTCGGCGATTGCGTTGCCTTTCCTCCACATGGGTTTCCGAGCCGCTATCGTCCGAAGGGATAGCGGTCGTGCTACGGCTTCGGGATTCTATCTCATGGTCTTCATTTTGCTTCCTTGATCTGAGCACACCATCGACATCCAAGGCACTAGATGAGGTGTTTGGATTCCACGAGTCTTCGCGGTTGATGGGTGGTCGCGTTGACAGGCCTCGGAGTGCGCGTGACATTGCTGATGCTCCATTCGTCAAAGATGTTAGATTAGTCTTATCGCTTGTCAAATCAGGCGTGTGACTGCTCTCCATCGTTGACCAGGCCGTTGGAAAGAAAGACGATGGGTTCACCAAAGTGGGCGTGTTGAAGTGTCGTGTTGAGGTATAGGTTGCTGGCCGCTAGGAGAGAACGGTACCGTGGGTACATATTTCCTTGGGACGGGACTGTCGGAACGGACTTTTCGCAAGCTCGGTCCAGATGAGGCAATCAAGTCAGACGGCACTTGGATGCAATAAGCACACAGAAGTATATATCCCAATAGCTGTCCGGACGTACCGGAGTATAAAGTACACGGTCGTGTCCGAATGGGGCTTCACCCAGAATGGACATGATGTCATGCCGCGCCTTGTAGTAAGTAGGGCAGTACTAGCGGTGCATGCGCATCGGTTCCTGCAGCAAACCAAGTCACGTGTTCTACCACAAGCTAATCCAACACGAGGCTGAAGCGTGACCTTCTACATGCATACTCGGGTCACTTGGTATTTCAATTCTCCAGACAATCCTACTCCACCTTTTGGTGGCGGGTGACCACGACACAGCCCCCCGCACAGCCTCGTTTTGTTGTCGACTGGAGCCGAGTACATATGGCGTCCTGGGCATTCCAACTCCAACATTCAACACATCAACTCTCCTGCTTGACTGCAAAGTCAATAGGACCTCAATAACCCATTCTCTCACAGTGGAAAACATGAATACAACATTATCCACACTCCTAATGACTGCAGCGATGCCACAGGAATGTGTCCCTTAGTCTCGCTGCTGCTACTGTTGCCGCCGCGACATCTCGCTTCTACCCTCGAGTACGTGTTTGATAAGGCAACCAACATGGATCCTATTTCCATCCCTTGGCACGACTTTGCCCAGTCGTGATTCGCTCGAGTAGAGGGAGATACGAAGTGGGTGCCATAGAACCGTCAAGCCGCAGTGTCGCAGTGTCACAGCGTCACAATGCAGGAGCGCACAAGTACAAGCCACAGCATAGATCAGACGGCGAATCCGCTCAATGAAAATAAGTTATAAAGGAAACCGTTGTGCCGATTTACACGAAGTACATCATCTAGGAGACCAACAGTCGAACAACCGTTCCCTCTGTACATCTAGAACCCCCATTATCTTCGGCGGCTGCATCATCTTTCTCTCAGTCAAAACCCAATAGTACACTGCGCACAAATTCCTCATGGCACCAACAAATAGCAGCCCCAACCTCTCAAAAAGGTCATTCTGCGGCGATGCATTATCATTCTACATCACCAAAATCAATTTCAGTTATTACATCACCTTCATCATCATCTTCGTTGCAATCTTCATCGCCTCGCTCTTCGTCCGCAAAAGGATTAGTGGCCCAGGAAAGTCGTTAATCGGATTTGCCTACATACTCACGTTGCTCCTTGCAATCACGTAAGCTTCCTTTCCCCAACTTCACACCTTCCCCAGTATTATTCTTCTATATTCGGAAGGCTGATAGTCAGAGAAATACAGTTGCCTAGTCATTGACTTTGCAGCTCTTCTTCGATCTCTATGTGGAACCGGAGGTTTCCCGGAATCGCGCGACATGGCTATCGCCTCCAACACCCTCGGCTTCATCAGCGTATGGGGCATGCTGTTCCTCGTCGTCTACCAAGTAAACATTTTACTCCGCAAGCAACTCGGTTCGGCCGTTATGATGTTTAGAATCATCTGCGTGGCCATGGTAGGCGTCATCGGCGCTCTCTACATAGCGTCTCTCAGTATATCCAGCTATCTCTGGTGGGAGACACCGAATATGTGGAGGGATGACCAATGGAGTCTTCAGCTATCATCGCAGCGGCTATCGTTGGCAGTGAGAGCGCTATATCTACTTTGTGTTATCGTGTCGGCGGCACTGTCTACTATGACGCTGTCTGGGCTGCGGAGAGCGCAATTAGCTGCTGGTGTAAGTTATGCTTGTCTTTCCAAATAAAAAACCTCCTTACCGCACTTTACTAATAGTGTTGCTCAGGATCTCATCGGCTGGGTCGCCGCCCTCCACATCTTCATGTTCATCTGGTCCGGCCTATCCGTAGTGCTGCAGGCACTAAGCCTTTACCTCAGAGACTTTGATCCCAAAACATCAATAGCCCTGTCGTATGTTCTGATTGTGTTCCAAGCGCTTAGCTTCGTTGCGCTATTGGGGATTGCGAAGCATTCGTGCTGGAAACAGGGCCGCAAGCCGGCGCAGCACGTTTATGCGCCGGCTATGCAGGGGCATACGGCGTATGTGCATTGAGAGCAGGCGTGTCGTAAGGAAATGAGTGCGATTAAGCATGCTACGAAGTAAGCGAGATGATCACGAGAAGGAGTGGAATTAGATTATTTTTTTTCTTTACGCTGTTACACGCAAACTATACCTAGATCATGACTACCATTATTATGGAATAATATCACCAATGAAACCGTCTACAATTCATAATACACTTGCCGTATGCCATACTACAGCATTTCCATTGCGAAAATATGCCTAGTGTCAAACATGTTTTTTTTCACAACATCTACTATAACTTACATGGGCACCTGTAAGGAATGCTAGAGACGTAAACAACGCAGAGTAGATTTAATATATACTTTTTAGTATACTCCACTAGCATGTACAAGGTCATGATTCAAGAAGATAAACTCCCCCGCAAAAGCCTGCACCCAGCTTTTAGTCCACCTTGATAGATCTATAAATCTTGAGTGTGAATAGCCAGCTGGCAAAGAAACCAATTGTACCTGTTCGTCAAGTTAGCTTCTTCTGCTTTTTCAAATCGGATTGCAAGATGTACTTACCGGTGAGAATGAAAACTAGCGCACTAAGCAAGGCCGAGTATCCAAGGTACACCACACCACTTGTCCAGCTCGTCCAACTAACATCCTTGATCCAGTAGAGCAAGCAACTAGCAAAGACATACACGGCGCTCGCACCGGCGGTGAAGAAGGATCGCCACTGCCAGTGGTAATTTTCCGCGCAGAGCAAAAAGTAAATCATCAAGACAGTAACAGCAGCAGACGTGATAATCATGAGGCCAAAGCAGAGGAAGAGGAAACCAAACATGTAGTAGACTTTTGAGAACCAGATCGAGTTCATGATGAAGTAGAGTTCGACGAAAATGGCGCCAAAGGGGAGTACGCCAGCCAGCGCCATGGATGGAATAGGTCGCAGGTAGCCTCCAGCCGGGGGGATTTGACGGGGGATCTGGTTGGTGCGAACAGGTGGTTCGATAGTAGCTTGCTTAAAGCCAAACCAGGAACCTGCCAGACTGAGTGGGACCGAGATTACAAACCAGATAATGACAACGACTAGCATTGTGGTGAAGGGCACTGCTCCCGATGCTCCGCGGCCCCAAACGAACAGGTTCATGAGGAAGAAGACGCTAAAGACGATTGCTGGGAGAGCAACGGGGGTGTAGAAGAAGCAGAGTTTCCACGATTCTCCTTGAAAGAATTTGTAGACGCGCGCAGCAGCGTAGCCGCCGAAGAAACCGAAGAGTGTGTAGAAGATGATGATGACGGTTCCGAGAGCACCGCGGTTGCTGGGGGAAAGGAAGCCGAGCAAAGCGAATACTATTATACATGTTAGCAAGAGGCGCTCATATCGAACCTTGGTGGACTTACCTATGGTCAATGCTGTCATGGCAAAGAGCTGGGCTCCATTGCCTATCAAGACTGAAAGAAGTAGTGGGTTCTTTGGTGGCCTGAATACGTCGCCGTGAACCAGCTTCCAGCCAGAATCATCAGCGGTGTCATCAGCATCTCCTGTTTCGCCAAAGTCTTCGAGCGCAAACTGATCCAAGCGGTTGTATCGCGCAATATCCTTCTTCAGAGTACGAACAAGGATCGTGCTGACCATGCCAACGAGGAACACGACGATCACAGCCGAATTGATGAGGGAGAACCAGTGAATCTTGGGGTCGTAGACATGGAGATATTTGTCCCACCGAGTAGCAAAGGGAGTCGGGCTGCTTCTCCAATATACGCCATAAGTAAAAACGACCATGTTCTCGTCGTCGTCCTTGTCCTTCAACACCAATGGTGTCTGTCCATTACAGGTAGCCTGTGCATCACCCTGTCTCTTCGATTCGGCCATTGAGTATGGGTCGACTAGCACGCCCACTACTCGGAAGTTACCCGGCGAGGCCTCGTGGTAGTCGATGACGATGTCGTAGTGGTTGTTGAGCATGGGTTTTTCCTCATCCACCAAGCCCAATGCAAAGCCAGGCTGGTAGAAAATCTGATCCGAGCCGGGCTCTCGCAACGACTGCGCCGCTGGCAATCCGTCTATTAACCAATTGAGATCATAGCCTTGGTATATTCTGTCATTCACGAATGCCGCATCTGTGCCCGGGTACGAAGCCTCGCAAAGTAACTTGCAAGTCTCATTGACGGCCATCTTCAGCTCAAAAGGGCTTGTTTGTATACGGTCGCCGAACAGTATGCTCCCCAGACTCTCGCGGATTTCCTTTGGCCCATCTTTTTCGCGACAAAAGTGAAAAGGCGGATAGTAGTAGTCGAACGAGAAGACGGATCGTATTTTCGGGTCGTTCTGCGAATCAGCTGGTGTTAGGCGATTGACGTACAATGGTACGGCGTCGCCGGTCTTGTAGGTTGTTGGCGCGGTGCCTGGAAAGTAAAAGGCCGATGTCGACGAGGGCGCTATGGCTAGTAATGACACGAGCAAAGTGCCAGAGGGGGATAAATCAGAGCGCCGCATCTTGTGTGTTTTGTCGTCAACGCAACAGAGGAGCGCAACAATTTATGGTGGATGTTGTGGAGTGGGCCGATATCCGGCTGAGAAGCTGGGCGGGATGCCGATACGTAGCGTTTACAGTGGTGATGGCGCCGACGGTGGATACGAAATGAGTAGGGTTACGTGGGGGGATTCTAGATACGTGAGCTTTCCATAACAGCCAGGCGACAGAAATGTAGCGAGATTGGAAGTAATGGCAATGTGGTGTTTTCTGAAGCTACACAAGCCGTCCCTTGGTAAATGGTTGCGTGAGAGCGGCCTAGGGAAGCTACGCGTATGCCAAGCCTTGAGCCACCGTTTCAGTAGACAGGGGTCTCGACTGAATTAGAATACATCCATGTTCGTCTTCACATTGTACCCTACACAGGCTCGACAGTCCCAACATGCACGTCTGACAATAGCAAAAGCAGGGCGCACAAATGCCAGGGCCTCGGGAAATCCATTGTTGCATTCTACCCTCAAGCAACCAAATTGTATGAGCTATTTATACGTACATCAATCATCATGTCCCTGTACGCCGAGGCGAAGTCAACGTTTTCCACCCCTAGCAGCAAGGGCACGATGGCACGCCCGAATCCCGCAAATGCGCTGTGATATCGACTATAACGAAACAAGAATAGGAAACGACCTTGGGTATCAACAACCCTCCTCTTCAAACAAGACCATCGTAGAGAGACAAGGCCGAAACAATGGTCTCGTCGCGCTTGGAGCCCTCCTTGAATTCAGCCATGTCTAAGCTACCGTTCTCGTCCTTGTCCATCATCCGGAAGATCTTCTTGACGCGCTTCTCGGGTGTGTCTTCGTCTTCTGGGAGCTTGACCATGGAGCCAACCTGCATGCGTTAGAGGCGAGTCTATGCCGGCACCGATGTATACGTACCATTTTGTAGATGGCCTCTACAATGGCCAGCATCTCTTCGTAGCTTATCTTGCCGTCGCCGTCAATGTCATACAGCTGGAACGCCCAATCCAGCTTGTCCTCCATCTTGCCACGGCTGGTGACACTCAGTGCGCAGATGAATTCTTTGAAGTCGATTGTGCCTGACTTGTCTGCATCAAAAACGTTGAAGACATAGTCTGCAAACGATGACGGATCGCCGAACGGGAAGAATTGCTTGTAGATCTTCTGGAACTCTTCCTTGGTGAGCATACCCGATGGGCAGTCCTTTAGGAAGCCTAGACATGGATACTCAGCCACAAGCCGCTTGCTTCAATCGATTCTATGCGCACCTTTGTACCATTGCTGTAGTTCCTTCTTGTCGAAGTGTGTTGCTTTCTGCAGATCGGCCAGCTCCTGCTGGGACAGTTTACTCTGGCTGTAGTATCGCACAATCAGCAGCTGATTCTGAATCTCGAGGCACGCTATGTGACAGCACAGCCCCAGGCCCTTCTCTAACTCGCGCATGGTATTCGCCAAGGCAACTCTCTGCATGTCCCTGTAGTGCGCATGTCCAGCCTCGCCTAGGTGGGGTGGGTGGAGAAGATGGCGGCGCGCAAACTTGAGGGGCGGATGACGGTGCCCACGAAAGGGTATCGCGATTTCCTGCGAAGGGATTGAGGGTGTAGACGGTGCTCGCGCATGCTTGTCGCTGTGGTTGTAGGTATCGAGTCGCGGTTGCATGCTCGCGCGGGCTGGGGCCAGGAGCGGGGTTGCGGTGCGGATACTTTGAATTTGGTCCAGAAGCCATGGCGAGATGGGGGGCGGCGTACAGCCTTGACCTGGAGCAGCGTATACTTGGGACAGAGGGCAGGAGTTGTCTGACGTCGAGGTGGGAGGCGCCGAGGCCCCGCCTTACAGAAGCAGCAAGGGAAAGAAAAGCCAGACTTACGATTTACCCATGGCTGAACGAGGGTTGGATTACCGTGGATGGAGATTTGCTGGGAACGGGCGGGGATATGTATGTAGGGGAGAAGCGGCTAGGCAGTGGTAAAAGTGTTGGTAGGCGGAGCAGCACCAGAGTATGGTATGTGATGGTAGGGGCGGGCCAATAGATAGCGGGGCTGCGGCAATGGCTCTGCAGGCAAGGGGCGCAGCGCTTTCGTCCAGGGCTGAGTAGGCGCAGGGACAGGCAACGGTGAAGGGCGACGTGGGAGCAGCAGACGGCGAGGTCAGGACGGGTAGGGCAGCTTGGGGAGGGTGGTGGTGGGAGGCACAAGATATGTATACATAATATGACGCGGGATGGCAGCGGAGATTCGCCTCGGAGCGGACAAGCAGCGCGGGCCCAGACAGCGGACGGGGGACTGGGGACTGGGGCGCTTGTGGGCAGCGTCCTCGTCATGTCCCGCACTTGCATGCACATGTGCTTGTCCCGGGCGTGGCAGAGCGCCTATGCAGCAAGCATGCATACATGGTAGTAGTGTGTCCATATCCGTGGCCGTCGACGATGCTGTCAGTCAGGCCAGGTGTGGGCTGCTTGGGGCCGGCCATTCAGCTCTGCGCACCACGCACCAGGCGCGACCTGCATCCATCCCAGCCCTACGACCCTATCCCATCCTCGGCCACCTGTACCTGCACCCAACCTGCACCTGCGCGTCATCCGCGCCTGTCCCGTCACGTGCCCGCGCGTGGTCCCTCCTCAACCGCTAGCGGGCGCGCCACCCACTGCTCTGCTGCGTGCACTTGTGAACCTGTGTACATCCCTCCCACCCCCGCCGCCCATGGACGACGTTCTCAATGAGCAGTTTGGCCGGGTCGAGAGGGCCCTGACCACCCTGGTCGACTCAATCGCGGCCTACAATCCAGCCACCCAAGCCGCAATCGACCTCGTGGCCGCTGATGACCAGCTGAGCGACGGCCTCGACCAGCGTGCGCATACACACCCTGCCCCGCGCCCCCCACTGGCGCTGCTCGCTGACATGTTGTAGTCGCCAAACACCAAGCAAACCATGGCCGCATCCAAACCCTGCGCGCAGAGGCAGATGCTCTAGAGGCCCAGCTCAGAGACTCGGTCAAGAAGCTTGCAGAACTGCGCCGCGAGCTTTTCAACACGCCCGCCACTACCTTTTCTCCAGAATCGCGTGCTGTGCCGTTTGATGAGCTCCTGCAGTACGCCGCCAACATCTCGAGGTACACTGTGCCCCCGACATATCGCGAGCGCGTCCCTACCACCGACAAGGACGACGACGATGTGGGCTCGAGCGGTGCACTCACTAATGGCATGAGCACGCCCGCCATCGTGCCAGACGCCGTAGACCTGCCCAATGATAGCTCAGAGGCCCCCAAGGCGGGCGAAGACGCAGATGGAGCTGTGCCTGACATCACTGCCGAAGAGGAAGAGTGGCTCAGGAAACTCAAAGCCAGCAATCTGGCATGGTACCCCTGGCCAAGCACCGAGAAGATTCGTAACGGCATTCTCTACCGTCTCTCGTACTGGCGCGAGAAGGGCAACGACCTGGACCAGTTCGACATACCAGCCTATCTAGAAGAGCAAAGAAAGAAGGCCCTGGGTAATGAGGCGAGTCTGGAAGAGACTCCAGCGGAACCAACCGAGGAACAACCACATCGCGAAGCCGCAAGGCCAACGAGGCCGCTCAGTGCCTTTACAGGTCTTGATGATATGGACGAAATGTAAGCAGTTTGGCATTGGGGCTCCAGACTTGCAACACGCAAAAGCTCTCGCCCAGTTATTCTCAAATGTTCTGTGCTGCTTCTCATGTCTAACTATCAACCTTCTCGTGACTTTACAGTATCATGTCAGTGATGTGAACCCATAAGATTTCAAGAGCAATGCCGTCACTAGATATTCGCGGATTCTTTTTGCCTTCCGTTTTTAGGACAAAAATTTCATGGGGATTATCCTACTGGCATGTGTATAGTCCTGCACGACAACGTGCAGGCATCTGAAGCCTTTACACTCAGGAACTACCCAGACAAACCCTGTCGGTTTACTAGTCCAAATACGGTTAGTCCCTAAATTTTCGGGGAAACCGTGCTCAACTTTTCTCCAACTTCGCAACGCGACATGAACTTCAACTCACGTACTGACAATTAACAATAAAAATGGGCAGCAAGACACGAAAGAGGGAGCGCGATGTGGATCAAGTTGAAAAGGTGGACGAGGCGCCCGCAAAACGGCGCAGACAGAGCATTGATGATCAGGTAAAGCTCTCGAAGCTGTACGTGGATCTGGCCGCAGAGGAAGATGACGTTCGCTTTGAAGCCGCCAAACAAATTATTGTCAGGTTCGCTCCTGAGAACAAACCAGCCGCAAAGGATGTTGAGGAAGCCTTAGTACGACTGATAAAAGGCTTATGTAGTCAACGCAAAGCAGCCAGAGTTGGATTCTCACTCACGTTGACCGAGTTTCTCCGCCAGATCTTTGGGGAAAAGAAGAGCGAAATCGAAGGTCTGGAGCTCGATGTAGCATCCATCATCAAAATGGTCGAAGATAAGACGAAACCCAAAGGCAATGTGCCAGGAAAAGTAAGAGGACGACAACAACGGTACCTGTTCTCAATGCTAATTTCCATAGGAACGACGAGATCACACAATCGGAAAACTTTTCGGTTTCAAGGCCATCATGCAATCATCGATTCTAATTGAGCCCCAGGTTTCTTTGGAGAGCTGGAACAAGCTACTAGACCAAGTGTACAAGATGGCGCGCGACATTCCTTGGCTACGCGAAGAATGTGGCATGGTTCTTGTCGAAGCCGTGAGGAGCTTAAAAGGCCAATCACAGTATCAAAAGTGTGTCGAGGAATTGCTCGAACGCCTCAACTCATTCCAGCTGATTTCAACCCCTGAGGGTGTGGCTGTATGGCTCACCGTCAAGGAAAGCTACCCCGAGGCCCTTCCAGAGGGTGTCTGGTATGCCAAAGATCCCCTATCAAAGAAGGAGCGTTCTCGCCTGGCCAAAATCTTAAAGGAAGACTTCAACAAGACAGAATCAGAAGCCGGGAAGAAAGAAACCACAAAGACTGGAACCACGAACCCTAACCCGTCCTTTACCTGGGACCTAGCGTTCGCTGAGATGCTGCGCAGAGACGAGGCAGCTAAAGAAGATGCCCAGAGCAAACCAGAATTTCCACAGTTTTGGATTGACACCGTAGATGGTAAGTTTATGATAACAAGGAAATATTGTTTCCTTCCACGACTGATAGCATACAGGCAATCTCTTTTCTTCTTCCGCGTCTCATGAACGCAAAGCCTGGGGGTTCAAGCTACTATCCAGCATGGTTACACGAGTACCTGATTGGGCTGTGCCAGCACTTTTCAGTCCCAACCTGATGCGCACCCTCATCAACCAGAGTAAGAAGGAGGACAGATTTCTCCACTCTGCCGCATTGGCGGCGTTGAATTCAGTCCAACTTCGGGTTGAGCGTGAAGACGGAACAGCATTGCCCATCTTCGTTGCGCTAACATCAAAGAATGGGAGTGTTGAGTTTGACCGCATCACAAAGACGAAGACACTCGAGCAAATCCTTTTATCAGCAGACGATAAGAGCTTGATGAAAATTATACGCCATCTAAGGTCGTTGATCCTGCGTCCAGAAAGCGAGGACCAAGCGGTTGCTGACAGCCGTCGACAAGCCATCGCGGACCTACTGCTGAGCACGGTCAAACTCTACAAACGATACGAGAAGTTCAACGAGAAAACCTTCAAGAAGGAAGTTGCTCATAGACAAGAAGGCCGCCCATTGGATGAAAGAAAATCGAATTGGCTCCGAGAGACCTTGGAGACGCTGGTAGAATGTGCTTATTTTGTCCCTGCTCAAAACGCAGAAACCAAAAAGATGCCACTTCCGCCTGTCAGCGATCGCAGTAGGACGGTATTCCAGGAACGCCTCTCTTCTTGTTTGACCAAGCTGCTTGACGTCAAGCTTGGAAGCCGCGCAGATGTTGCGCTACTGGTCATTGATATGATCAAAGCTAAGAGTGGAAAATCTTCGAAATTGGAACTTGTCTTGAAGGCAGACCCTTCCATTCTGAGTACCATTAAGCAAGCATCAGCGACTCTCGCCACCATTTCTGGAGCTGTAAGCATAAATTCTATTCTCATTTTTGATTCGACTGACCCAAAATTATAGGGCTCGATAGCTGGCAACGAAATGGCTGCCCAAGGCTTCATGCTTTTGTACTCGCTTACGCTTCTGCAAGTCTACAATGGTGAAGGCGACGCTGTTATGATGCTTGACGACCTCGATGCTTCGTACAAAGCTTTTGAAGTATCTCGAAAAGCTTCATCGAAAAAGAAAAAGTCTTCAATGCCCGACGGTCAGAATGCTTTTGTGGAGATTGTGCTCTCGTTCTCGGGTAACGCACGCACATTGTTTCGTCGCATAGGAGAAGAGGCATTCTCTATCTTTGCTTCGGAGATCAGTGCTGATGGACTCCGATCGCTGACCGACATCCTGGATACGGAAGAAAACCTAGAGGGGCAGAGGGAACTTTTCAACCAGGATGATGACGACGTCGAGGAAGATGGATCAAGCGAAGACGATGAAGATGAAGATGAAATGGATTCTGACGTGGAGATGATTGATGGAGAAGAATCCAAAGATGCTTCTGAGTCGGACTCCAGTGATGGTGACAGCGACAGCGACAGTGACAGCGAAGGAAGCAGCGATGACGAGGACGATGAAGAGGATGCCGAGCTGACACAGTTTGACAATATGCTGGCCATGACTCTTCAGACGTCCAAGCCGAATGTCAATAGCGATGCAGCAGAAGAGACGTCAGACGAATCGGACATGGACGATGAGCAGATGATGGCGCTGGATCCACATCTCAGCAAGATTTTCAAGGAAAGGAGCAAGACAACGAGCAAGAAGAAAGAGCGAGAAGATGCTAAGCAAAACGTGGTCCAGTTCAAGTCGAGGGTGCTTGATCTACTTGCCATATACATGGAGAAGCAATACTCGAACCCACTCACACTGGACATTTTACTTCCCGTGCTTCGCCGCACTCGCGCCAACGCAAACAAGCAGACAGCCGACAAGGCAGCTAAGATGCTCAAGACCTTCTTCGACACCCGCACAAAGCATAAGGCCCCTCTACCTAAGCCAGAGAGCACTGAGCCTGTGTGGGAGCTACTAAGGGGCATCCATGAGGAAGCAAAGCTGGGTAACGGGGCCAAGGTCCATGCAGACGCATGTGGCTCTGCTAGTCTGCATGTCGCAAAAGTGCTCGTTGGTATAGATAGGGTAAACTATGCTGGTGTGGTGGACATATATGCAGAGACACAGAAGCAGTGGTTCGCAGACAAGAAGTCTCCTCTCCAACCCATACTTTTTACGCAGTTTCAAAACTGGTCCGTCAACGCGCGGCAACAAGGAAAGTGAGTTCATGGTAAAAGTAAATCTGGGTTGTAGTCGAATAAAGTAGCATACGATCGGTCGACATTTGAAGTTCTGACTGGTTTCTGTCCATCAAAATCTACCATCAAAGCCGATTGTTACATGTGATGTACCTCAATCATGTAAACAGCAGGAATTGTGCAGTCACGTGGAGCCACTTTCCAACTGCTGTACAGTCGTTGGCGGCGGTTCACTCATGTTTCAGGTCAGTGGGAATGGGAAGGACCCCACTAGTCTTGCCCCGCAGCGGGGGTCTTCGGTAGCCCTAACGTAGCTGTCTGCCATGTCGTACCAAACATTTCTAGACCTGAATCCAGCAATCAACGCCATATCCTTTCTCCACACAGCTCGCTCCCAAGCATGGCTTGCAAGCACGTCAACGCATCCGGTCGGTACTCCTCTGGCCCTGTCCAACCAAAGCCAACATTTTGCAAGAACGGATTCAAGGTGGCAATCACTCGAGTGAACGGCCTGTTGCCTTGGATATGGTTTTTCATGTAGCTTTGACCTCAACGAGTGATGTACTAATATGCTATAGAGCTGCGGCCCCCAGGCCCCATGCAGTCGGTCTACAGGGAAGACTGTACTCAGTGCTTCGACTCGATCGACGACCCCACCGGTCTCGATGTCTGCCTATATTGCTTCAACGGAGGCTGCACGAGCGATCGCAGCCATGCTCTCCTTCACGTCTCGTCTACAAACCATCCGCTTGTCCTCAACATTAAGCGCACACGAAAGCGAGTCCAGCGCGACGAACCGCCTCAGAAGATGACAAAGCTTGCTGTGGCAGCTGAAACCGAATCCGACCGCTACGACACCACAACCCAAGTCAAGTGCTACGAGTGTGGGGTTGACGACATCGATAAGAGCTCTGGAAAGCTTCCGGATATTGTCAACGCGGTTCTCGAGGCCAACACATTCGCCAAGCAGCAAGAGGTCAAGGCATGGGAGCAAGAGCTGACTGCTTGCGAACATACGTTGTGCCTCGAGCAGGATGCAGCACGGCAAATCGAGTCTCAAAAGCTGGGCCATTGCTCAGAATGCGAGCTGAACGAGAACCTGTGGCTATGTTTGTCCTGTGGTAATTTGGGTTGTGGTCGTCAGCAGTTTGGTGGCGTTGGTGGCAACTCACACGGTGTTGGTCATACCAAATCAACGGGCCATCCGGTCGCAGTCAAACTTGGTTCCCTCACTGCTGACGGTACAGCCGACATCTACTGCTATACTTGCGACGAGGAGCGCATTGATCCAGAGCTACCAGATCACTTGGCGCATTGGGGCATCAACATCAAGGACAGGGTGAAAACGGAGAAGAGTCTCACTGAGATGCAGGTTGAGCAGAATTTGCGATGGGACTTTGCCATGGTGACGGAGGACGGCAAAGAGCTGCAGCCATTGTTCGGTCCAGAATTAACGGGATTAAAGAATTTGGGCAACAGCTGCTACCTCAACAGCACGCTGCAGGCTCTGTTCTCGATGCCGGAGTTCAAGGAGCGATACTACTTGCCCGATCAGGCGCCACCTGATGCAGCACTTCCTGCAGAAGACCTGGAAACTCAATTGCGCAAGATTGCAGATGGCATGATCTCTGGTCGATACTCGAAGCCCGATACCGACGTCATTACAAACGAGCAGAGTCCGGAAATCCCGCACCAGCGCGGACTTGCGCCTGCGATGTTGAAGCATTTGATTGGGCGAGGCCACGCCGAATTCTCTACAATGCGGCAGCAAGATGCCTTCGAACTGCTCCTGCATATGCTTAAGCTCATCTCTCGGTCACAGCACGTTGCGCCGCACAAAGACCCTGTCGATGCTTTTCGATTTGTTATGGAGCAGCGGCTACAGTGTGTTGGCTGTAAACGTGTTCGGTACAGGACAGATGAACAGGAAAATATCTCGATCCCTGTGCCTATTCGTAGGATACCGAAGGAATCGCAAATGGACGTCACTGATAGCGATGGCAAAAAGGAAGAGAAGGAAGAGTTTGAGCCGGTCTCGCTGAAGGAATGCATTGACATTTTCACAGCTGAAGAACTGGTTGAGCTTACCTGCAGTGCCTGCGGTAGCAAGGATGGGTTCACAAAGAGGAGCATGTTCAAGACCTTTCCGTCGGTTTTGGCAGTGAACGCAAGACGCTTCGAGTTGGTGAACTGGGTACCTACGAAGCAGGATGTGCCAGTCATCGTTAACGACGAGCCATTCTCGTTTGATGCCTACAAATCAAACGGATTGAGCGAAGGGGAAGAACTCCTTCCTGATGACGTTGACATGGGGGGGGCTGGAGGATCGGCAGGCAAGTGGGTCCCCAATGAGGCGGCTCTGTCGATGCTCGAAGCCATGGGCTTCCCAAGGGTCAGGTGTGAGAAAGCGCTACATGCCACGGGAAATGAAGATGCTGAAGCAGCGTCAAACTGGCTGTTCGCACACATGGAGGATCCTGATATCGATGATCCCGTCGACTTCAACGCTGGCTCGAGCGGTAACACGGCTGCTGCGTCCGCTATTGACCCCGAAAAGATTGAGAACCTAGGCGCTATGGGCTTCAGCGCTCCCCAGGCACGACAAGCTCTCAAGGAGACAGGCGGCGACATGGAGCGAGCTGTAGACTGGTTGTTCAGCCATCCGGATGCACCCGGCGACTTTGAAGAAGGCAGCAGCTCTGATGCCCCTGCTGATGCGATGGAGAAGGCATTAGCGGGTAGTGACAGACTACCTGCGAAGTTCCAGTTGCAGTCGATTGTGTGCCACAAGGGAAGCTCGATCCATGCTGGGTAAGCTAAACAATCTAGAAACGTCGCTGGACGGTGCTGCACATGACCATGAACTAATAGTATGCAGGCACTACGTTGCGTTTGTTCGCAAGCAACTGCAAAACGAACAGTCGGCCTCGTGGGTTTTATTCAATGACGAAAAGGTGGCCAAGGCTGCAGACGTGGAGGAGATGAAGAAGTTTGCCTATGTGTATTTCTTCAGGCGTTTGTAAGATGAAGGACCTAGGTCTTGCATCACGGATTAGCATACGTAGCGGGCGTGGAGTTGGCTCAGATTAGCATTGATAGTTGTAGCACGGCCAAAAGAAGCTGTGTTTAAGGCAACGGCTTTTGCCCAATTGTTAGCATTGTAGAGATGAAGCAGATACGGAATGTATTAATAGCAAAAGTTTCCATGTGACAAGTATGTCGTGGATGGAAGCGTCTGGGCTCTGCGGCGACATAGAAGCTTTTGGCTGATGATGCAAGTTTTCGGTCGATCGGCGAAACTGGAGAACCTCGACAAACCAAAACCAGCCACCTTTACTACGAAATACCAGCACCACGACAATGGTATTTTGAAAAATAAAATCGACTGGACAAATTCGCTTACTCTGCACGTAGTATGCCGAAGTGAATAATAACCAAATACCACTAGTAGTGTTGTAGCAGCAATGAAAGCTTCCAGCGAGCTTCACTCTGTCGGAGCTGGGCGGTTTATCTCCGACTCGACTGGCCGACCATGAGACAAAGTGCTAAGTGTGGGGTAGTTAGCGCACAGATTACGTCGCCGATCACGCTTTTCCGCGCAGTACTTCTATTGCCCGTCGCCATCTATCATCTCCGCCACACCTACACACACACCCCAACACCTACCTGCTACCACAATAACTTCGAAATATCGATTTTTTAAACGAATAAACTGCGCATACCGAGTCCATCATCATGTTCAGGAGAGTCGCAGCAGCCGTGCCTGCCCAGGCCGGACGAGTACTTGCAACCGCCGCGAGACCCAGCATCGCATCGCCCATCCGCACAGCAGCATCTGCAGTATCAGCAGTCGGAAGGCGGCAATACCACGAGAAAGATAAGTCACCCTTTACTTACTTGGCCTGAAGGTGGATGGCATGGCGATATCGGGGAGCTTGCAAGACTCACCTGTGATTGGGCCAACCTTGTCCGATACAGCAATTGTATGAGAATGCTCAACTGACATGCGTAGCACTGCTCGACCACTACAACAGGCCACGAAATGTCGGTTCAATGTCAAAGACTGATAGCGATGTCGGCACTGGACTCGTCGGCGCACCCGCGTGTGGCGATGTTATGAAGCTCCAGATCCGAGTCGACCCCAACAACAACACCATCAGCGATGTTAAGTTCAAGACATTCGGATGTGGCAGTGCAATCGCCAGCTCGAGTTATCTGACCGAGTTGGTCCGGGGCATGACATTGGAGGATGCGGCGCGGATTAAGAACACAGAGATTGCCAAAGAGCTCTGCCTACCACCTGTAAAGCGTGAGTTTTTTTAATCAAAGGTTTTGTATGATGGGAAGATACTCACTAGCTACAGTACACTGCTCTATGCTTGCCGAGGATGCCATCAAATCCGCCATCTCCAACTACTACACCAAGAACCCCAAGGCACGACAAACAGATCTGGGCGGCAAATCGGCGCCGTTGCCAAAGGTTGAAGTCGAGACTGTGTCCTCTGCGGCAGCCTAAGAAGTATGTTGAGCATAAATTGATACCGAAGACACCAAGGGAAAAGACGAAAAATGGCCTATGGAGAAACCTGATGTTTAGTCTCTCGTTACTCAATGTATCGATTAGGGCAAGGGCGTTTGTGCGTTATGATGGTGGGCTTATTGTACAGGCAAGCCGAAAGAATACGTAAATTATCATCGCAATGAACAAAAACACTTGAAAATTGACATGTATCCGCTTGGCTTATTCGTGAAGTTTGTGTGATGTATTCGAGAGAGGAAAAGAATGTTCCCAATGGCGTAAGTGACAGGGCTGAGGAATGTTAAATACTGGTGTGGAGAACTGGCGGGGAACTGGCTATGTAAGGTGAGAATCACGCCATGCAGGTGCTCCAGGTCTCATGGTTCATCTGATTGTGCGTTTGTGTGATAGTGCGGTGTGGACCCATGACGCGTATTTTTGGGGTACGGACCGAATGACTATTTGTTGCTCCTGCTCAAACATGGTTTTGCAATGTAATGGAAGTACTGCTTTCTATCCACAGGCCCATACCCGGTAGGCAAAGTAAAGGTGTCTGTCAATGACGTTGTGGACCCTTTTACCTGGTAGTACCATTCGCGACCTCGGTCCTTAGCACTTCGACACTCCTGGACAGCCTACACGCTGCATAACAAACTCGTGCAGATTTCCGGAACATGGCAACGGTACAAGACGACAGTCCAGCATCTGCAATACGCTTCAAGCGTCGCAAAACTGCCCACCCGAAGCGTGTCGCTGTTGAAGAAGATGCGCCTACCGTCGTCAACTCGCAATCCCCAGATGCAGCCAGTTTGCAGCACGCGTCGTCGCACTCGAACGAAGCCAACAACGATGAAGAGTCGGTTCCCAACCTGAAAGAGATACTCCGCGACAGAAAGCGCCATCGGGATCGCCTCAAGGAAGGCGTGCGCAAGGCAGAGGTTCCCCGGACGGACATGGTTCACATGGACGACGCACCGCGGCCAGATCAATATACGGGGCGTTTTGTCGCACAGACGGGACAGGTTGTAGATCGAGACGACAAGCAGATGTAAGTGGAGCATGCGACAGGGCCCAAAAGGTCGGCGCGTCTGGGTGTGGCAAGTGCAGACACTGATGTGCTAGGTCGGAATACGTAGAAGCCCGCATGGCTGAAAAGAACTATCGTCAATACGGCTGGCCTATCCCACAGCACCTTCAGGCCTCAGTAGCGGCCATCGCGCCAGATCTACAACACACATTTACTTCAAGAACATCCGCACGTGCGCCAGCGGGAACAGGGAATCCACTGGATAAGGAACATAGCGAGCGATTGGCAGCGGGCCGGGGCAAGCTTCAAGAAGTGGATCTGGGTCCAGAAGCCAAGACACGCATCGAGCAGGCTTGGAAACGACTGGAGAAGGGCGAACCTGAACAACCGGCAGGCAAGGTACCACAAAACAAGTATGGCTATGCGTGGCGCAAGCCGAGAGGGGGCGGGAAGACGGACGAGGACAAGAAGCGCGATCAGATGGTCGAAGCCGTACTTAGCGAGGCAAAGCGTATGTCTCCCACCATGTTTCTTTCTATGTATTCTTTCATTCCTACTAACCACTTTACTCCACAACAGTCGACTACTTCGATGCTCCCCCCGCATCCATCCCCCTCGCCACAACCTCCACCCATGGAAACGCCGACGACGCGCTCGTCGAGCAATTCCGCACCGAGTATTTCGAGTCCATGGAAGCAAGACGCCAGCACCACGCAGCCCGTAAATCAGCAGCGTCAGCAGCAAAGGGTGCGGCGCCATCGATTTCAGGACCCAAGATGGGAGGCAGTAAGAGCGCAAGAGCCAGGATGCACAAGTTACAGCAGGAAGAATTGGCGAAGAAGAAGAGGTGAGAGATGGGGTACATGTGTTAGATGATTGTGTTTCTTTTTTCTTGGAAATAAAGATTGCATAGTATGCAAAGTGTTTTGTACGTACATACAGGACGACGGGAGTTTTATTAATAAGATATCAACAAAGGGGGGAAGCAAAAAAAAACCCCCCGCTAGCCCATCATTTACGAAGCATTCATACAGCCCTTTTTTCCGCGCTGAAGGCCAATATTCTCCCAGATTTCAATCCTCCCAAAAGAAAGAGAAAAAAACGCCCTTTATTCTTACCCAGTATCCTCAAATCTTCCTCGGTCCACCCCCTACCTTGTTCCTCCCTCCCGCATTTCCTCCTCCTCCTGTTCCTCCCCCAACCTTCTTCGCTGCCCCTCCCCCAGGCGTAATCTTAATCGGCACCCCACTCTTCGTCACCACCGTGCCTCCTCCTGCTGCTGCTCCGCCTCCCTCCTTCACCTTCTTCTGCGCCTCCTCGATCTCCTTTTTGTCAATCTTAATCACAAGCCCATTATTCAGCGTCACGGTGCCTGTTTGTTTCGCCTGCTCAGCTTGTGTCTGGGGGATTTTGATGGTGACGCCTGAAGCGAGGAGGACGTCCTTGGTGGGGCCGTTGGGGGTGGGTTTCTTTACGGGAGAGGCGCTGGGTTTGGAAGGGGTGGCAGGGGAAATGGGCTTCTTAGTCGCTCCTGTCGCCGCGGCGGCGGCGCTTTGGGCTTTACGGATCGGAAGCTTAGCATTTGCGTTGGGCGTTTGTAGGGTTTTTGGTGGTGGTGGCATGGTTGATGTGGGACGGTGCATGCCGTTGGGTAGTACGGCACCGCTTGATATTGCTGTTTCCTTTACGAGTTTCGCAAGGTTTTCTTGCGTCAGGCGTTGGACGTTTGACATTTGGTCTGGGGAGGCGGCTTGTTCGGCGCCCATTTTCGCGGCGCCTTCGATCATTTTCTCGAGTTGGTCTGGGCTAGGGAGTTTGCTCATGTCGCCGGTGCCTTGGCCTAGGAGCATCTTCATGTGGTTTTCGAAGAACTCTTTGCCGCCTGGTATGGGTATGTCGTCGGGAGAGGCACCGTAGGCGACGGTCAGGGCCATCATGATGGATGTAATTGGTGCAAAGATTTTGACGAATTCGTTCCAGTTGCCGCTCTTAACTTCGGTTTCTATCTGGACTGCAGGACGGGGGACGGTGCGGATAGTTTTGCCGTTGCTGCGGCTAGACTCGCTCCGGACGTCCATGTCGAGGTGATTTTTCCAAAAGTCTTCGGCCGGGAATCGGTTGTTGCGGTTAAAGTATTCGAGCATGTAGTCCTTTTCTCGCCAGCGGTTTCTCAGCCAAACTTCGAATGCGTGTGTATTTTCGTAGGGAATGTCTGCGAGGCGGAAGCGGCGCCAGTGCATGTTTACGGATTTCGGGGGCCGACCTTCGAAGAATGAGGAGCGCAGTGTGAATATGTCTTGTCCATATTGGCCGGGTGGTATCCCTTCGTATGCAATTGTGCAGTCATAGAGCCAATCTGTAGTATCCTTCAATTCGTTGAGACAAAACTTGAGACCCGTGCTACGAGGAAGTAGCTGGTGCTTCATATCCTGGAGTCCGTTCTTTTCCGCCCATTTCTTGCTTTTTTCCCGAGTCGTCGGAGACAGGTTCGTTCCTTCGGGGAAAATGATAAGCCACATAGGATCGCCCTTCTTGTTCAACTTGGAGAGGTGCTTCTTAAAAGTTCTTTCGTCCTCTTCCCACTTCCTTGATAAAAAGATGAAGTTATAGAACTGTGCGCCCCACCCGATAATGGGTATGTTCTTCAACGACTCCTTCAGGATGATGTATATGAAGCCATGCATGTTATTCGTGTAGGCAATCCACCATAGGTAAAGCCAGTCGGTGTAGAGCTGGTGGTTCGCCATGAGGACCATACGGTCGGCAAAGTTACATTGAAGAGAACCATCTTTACGCTTGATGAGCTGCCCGACCATGGTGGAGTCGCCAGAGACACGGACGACTGTTGGTGCCCACCATTGGGTCAGGCAGGTGATGAGGATGGCGAAGCATTCTTTGGTATAGGCCATGTATCCATCGTAGAATTGAGGATCGATGAGTTTCAACGGTGCGCCTAGGAACTGCGAAGCGCTTATGCTACGGTACGTCAGTTTGATTGCAACCCGAGGGCGACGACTAGATATACATACGCTAGCACTCCAGACAAAAAGGTCGAGGCCAATGTGAATGCTCTCTCTGCCTGTGTCAGCTCGCCATAGCGCGGCGGCCCAGCTGGATGCGCATCAACATTGTCTTTTGAGATTCGCAGCCCAGCACCCAGGTCGTCCTTCTTCTTCCTCTTGACAGATGCCGGCACTGGTGTTCTAGTCGCTGATTGGCCCGCAGCAGCGCCCGTCGACAGCTTAGCGGGAGGTTTGGGAGCCGTTGACTTGGTAGCGGGCGTAGGCTTCTTTGTCGCTGGTGGCATCTTGAAAAGTAGCAGAAACACGCAAACATTCAAATGTCCAAACGGCAAACACAAAGCCGCGCACCCTCCCCCCAGTAACGGGCTACCCGCGACCCGCGACGTCAGTGCAGGGTCGAGATCAAGACGGCTGCTCCACTTGCGTCTCCGTCAACCCTGGTCTGTCAGCCGCGATATGACGTCGATGTGTGGCGCTGTGCACTATGGCCACGCCAAAGCAAGATATGGGACCATAACCATTCCCTCTCTGCTAGCTCGTTAGCTTCCTCACTAAATAATATACGCACTCCGCAGTATACATCTGCTCCTCAATAGCATCGCCTGTATTTCCTCTCAGAGTCATCGTCCACATTTTGACTAAGCAGTCAGTAGTCCCCCCTTGACAGCCAACCTTGTCCGTGTGCAGTATTGGCAGACATTCCAAGTTCTATCCGCTGACACGTATTCATCAGAATCATTCTCAAAAGAAACATCACACATCTACCACAATGCCTGCCTCAGTAGCATCAGCGCCCGTCAGACACACCCCCAACAAGACGACTCCCACAAGAAACGTCAAGAAGGCAGGCACAGCCGCAACCAAGAAGCCTCAAACAAACGGCGCCGTAAACGGAGCCACAAACGGAGCATCGCACCCCCAAATGTCACCTTACACCATCATGGCCTCGAGAATCGCCAACCGCGTCGCCGAAATGGCAGAAAACATGACGTTTGTCGAGCGAGAAAAGTGAGTCTCCCTACCTTCTCCTTCTCTCCCCCCTTTCAAAGAAAGATCATTCACTGACAAGTATTTGTTCCCCCCAAAAAGGCCTCAGCCACAAAATGGCGCCGTACAACCGCAACCCGCGCCCCGCAAGCCCCCGCGAAAGCTCGAAATGCGCATCCCCAACAGCGGCGCTTCGCCCACAAACATCACTTTTAGCGCGCCCTTCCTCGATAATACGCTGTCTAAGCTGTTGACGCTGCAGAACCGCATGTTGACTGTTAGCAACGACATTGCTGCGTGCGAGGATGTGGATGAGAAGACGAAGCAGGAGCAGTTTGCCCAGAGTGCCGAGTTGAGCCGCATCATCGCCCTGATTTGTGCTGAGAAGGCTAGGCAGGGTGCTTAGTTCTTTTTTTCATTTCTTTTGCTTTGCTCAGTTTCGGCTTGAATGGCAACAATCCTGTCTTCACCACGTTATTCATTTTCCATTTCAATTTTTTCTTCTTTTACAGTGGCGTTTGGAGGACTGCGTTTTTCCATATGTATAACGAAATAGGTGGCTTTATTTTTTTTCAAACACAAATAAGCAGGGCTTGTTTTTTTGTACGAATAGTCATAGATGAGAATGACAAACGAAAAATCTTAATACTACTGCAAAACTCTTTTTCTTGGGTGGTTGCTGTTCTCGTGATGTCGTCTGGTAAGGTTACCCCTGAAACAAAAGTAAAATGGCCTTCTCACTAGAAAAGGAAAATGGACACTTGCCACATATGCCCTCCTACTAACAGCAAGCCGGGCCTCGTCACGCCCAAAGGACCCAAAGAAAACCTGCGTTGTGTAGCAGGGATCGACACGCGCCATAGCTGAGTTGGGCGGGACATTCTGTGGTAAAGTGTACGTCATAAAGATGCGGGGTTTGCTGCTGCGGCGGGATAGCGCACACCGGTAGTCGCACGCACGCACCCCTGCATTCTCGAAACCGGTTCCAAAGAGTTGCGCAGTGGCGCAACTTTTTGCCGCAATGACAAGAGATCGGCGGCGAATTGGGAGAGAAAAGAGGGTCTGGGTGAGTCTGGAGTGATGGCTGTGTTCTTGGGGAGAGGGATTGAGTTTCTTACTACTTACTTTACTACTGCACACATACTATATTCTACATTAGGGCTGCATCTAGAGCTACTACAAACCCTGTTTTGTAACTGATATTCTCGAATCCATTGCGTTTGCTAGCTTGAGAGATTGGTCGCAAGTGTTACCTCTGCTCTCGTTGCATCTGCGAAAATGACGAGCTTCATTTCAAACATCATCTGGAATTCTGTCGAGGGGTTTGTGGATGCGGGGAAGAAATCGGTGGGGGAATTTGGTGGGAATGCGTTGATTAAAGCTGGGGATATGATTGAGAATAGCGGTAGAAGTATAGGAACCGGTAGGTTTGGCACTTTTTTGCTCCACTCCCAGAACCCTCCCAGATTCATATCGAATGCCATGTCCTCGACTCTTCTTGAGAAATGCTGACTGAATTCATCTCTTAGGCATAGAAAAAAAGGCAACTGGCTATGGCACTGCCATCACAGGCCAGTCTTATAAGCCTTCAGCAAAGGCCCTGCCCTCGACTGCCCGTAAACCCGCAATGAAGCGCTCGAATTCCACGCCTGTGAATGTCAAACCACCGACAAGCGGATTACCCTTGGGCGCGAAGAAGTATCCCGGCGGTAATCAAGTAAAAGGAGCTGTAGGCGGGGCTAAGAAGACGGCAGGAGGAGCCAACAAAGCCATTGGCGGAGTCACAGGCACCGCATCCAGAGCAACCGGAGGCGTCGTGGGTCGTGCAAACAGCACAATCGGCACACTTTCATCCACAGCAACAAAAGGCCCGGGCAGCGTCGTGGGGGGTGGACGTAAAGCGCTCGGCGGAGCTACCAAATCCATCCCCCCATTCAAGGGTTCAGGTGCAACATCTGCTGCTCCGAATACCGGCATCCCTAAGCCAGCATATCCTACCGAGAAGAAGACAGCCGTGAAGCCAGGCCAACCGAAGCCGTTTACACCGCCGGTTGAACAAAAGAAACCAGATCCGAAGAAACCTTATCCAGGAACGAATACATTGCCAGGACAAAGCCGGACTCCGGTGCAGCAGCACAAATATAAGCCTTTACCCAGGCTGGGTCCGCAAGTTGGTCAGGGGCAAATCATGCAGCATATTTCCATCTGATTTGCGAGGGTGCTTTCGTCCTTCGGCGTTATGGTGTAAGAATAGATACTCAGTTTCGGGAGTAAGCAATTTAATATCAGCAGTATATCATTATTCCAAGGATCCATAGTTGTCAGTTGTGCATGTGAATCGTGGATACCAGATAAACACGTGCTACGATGCTTTCATCTCGACACGAATTGGTATGCTGGTATGAACCGGGACCTTGCAGCCCATGTGTAGCGGAATGGTCGTACAGCTGTCCAAATGGTAGTCAGCACACGCTTGGGCACCCTGAAGTCCTTAACTTCGGCCAGACTCCGGTGTCGGCGGGTCTGCTTGTTTGCTTCCGCTGAGCACCATTGCTCATCATTGTCGATCGCTCCCCCGAACCCCACAAATCCTTGTCTCAACTGTAGGGCCCTCGACCTATCATGAATGGCGCGATGGGTCAGATGTCGTCTCGGCATTTGGGGTAAGCATTCCGGAGTAAAGCTTAGGTTTCTTATATATTCCCGACCATCCGATGTGTGACTAGGTGCCTTGTGTGTGCCGTCTCGCTTTCCTTCCTGTCGTCGAGTACGTCGGACTCACGATGGCGCCGTTTTCAACCAAGAGATACTATGCAAGCGAGAGCCAGGACGAAGAGAAGATTGACACGGTGGCAGTCGAGAATAATGGAGACGGTATTTCAGACGCGTCTGTCATAGGAGAGATTGATCCAGTCATCGCAAAGCGTGTACGACGGAAACTGGACAAACACGTTGTCCCACTGCTAGCAGCGCTGTATCTTCTTGCTTTTCTCGACAGATCCAATATTGGGTAATGCGATACATCAGGAACTTGCTTAGAGCCAACCGCTGACACAAAATACAGGAACGCGCGCATTGCCGGTATGGAAAAAGACCTCCACCTCAGTAGCTCGAAATACTCATGGCTCCTAACGATATTTTACATTTCCTATATTGTCTTTGGCTTCCTGATCGTCATGTGGAAAGTCGTGCCTCCGCATCGCTGGGCTGCAGGATGTGTCTTCGCATGGGGCGTGATATCGAGCGCACAAGCCGGAGCTCAATCATGGGCTGGAATGATGGTGCTCCGCTTCCTCATGGGGGTTGCCGAAATCGCTTTTGGACCTGGCGTACCGTTCCTGCTTTCATTCTTTTATCTCAGACACGAGCTCGGTCTGAGATGTGGATTGTTCCTGTCGGCCGCACCGCTAGCAAACACGTTTTCAGGGGCGCTGGCGTACGGCATTACCAGCGGAAATCCTTCGTTTGCAAAGTGGCGCGTACTATTTCTCGTAGAAGGACTTCCGACGGTTGTAATGTCTGTTGTGACATGGTTCTTCTTGCCAGACAGCCCAGAGAAAGCGCGATTTCTTACCGAAGAGGAAAAGGCCGTTGCTAAAGCGCGTGGTGTAGTACAGGTGGGTACGGGGACTCGAATTGGAAGCATTGAGTGGAAGGAAATGCTGGAAGCGGTACTAGACTTGAAGAGTTGGGTCCTAGGCGTGAGTAAACTCGTTGGGTAAGTCAACAACCGAACTAACGATTTTTTAGATTATGTATTTCTCCGGCAACGTAGCATTCTCATCGCTGCCAGTCTTTTTGCCTACCATCCTTACTGAGATGGGATTCTCGCAGGTGAACGCACAGGGACTAACGGCACCACCCTTCTTCGTCTCTTTCCTCACCGTCATTGTGACTTGCTACATTGCAGACCGCACACAACAGCGTGGTATAGTGATCGCCATACTCACAGCAATCGGGGGTGCTGGTTATGTGATCTTGGCTACGACTAAGGCCGTGGCAGCAAGATACTTTGGAGTCTTCCTGGCCGCTGCGGGCATATTCCCAGCCATTGGCAATGTTCTGCCGTGGATCATGAACAACCAGGGTACAGATACGCGGAGAGGGACTGGCCTGATGATGGCGAACCTAATTGGGCAGTGTGGGCCGGTCCTTGGAACTCGACTGTATCCACAATCAGAGGGGCCGCTGTATGTAAAAGGCCAGTCGATTTGCGCGGGATTCATGTTCCTCTTTTGCCTGCTGGCTATCTTGTTGAGAACTCTACTTGCTTGGGAGAACAAGAAGCTGGATAGACAATATGGGACTTTGGCGCAGCAAAAATCAGCGATGCAGGAAGCTGCAAAGGGCAGGGAAGCAGGGCATCAAATCGGACTGGAGAACTATGGTCCAATGTATCGATATGTACTGTAGATGGCCAATGGCAACAGAGGACGGTTCTCATGGCGTACAATGGCGGTATGCACCGTACGTAAGGTCGGCGACATGTGAAAAGCAACGAAGAGGGGACTGGTTCTGCATGCAGCGGGGTGGTCGAGCAGGGGCATGCAGCTTATTTTCCTGCATCGATGAAATAATTGCGAGTGATGTAGCTATTTGACAGATGATCCATCGAGATGGTTGTGCAGCCAGGTGCAAATCTGTATCGCATCAGTCCAAGGGCGAAGGAATAGCGTGTGCGTGTTTGAAACTGGCCCGCCCCCGTCTGTCCTCGGCCTGTCCGAAAGAGGAAACAGGGCACACGACGTCTGTTATGCACACCACCACGGCCAAACATCAATCAATGCCATGTTCCCACCATGGCAATCTGCAAGCTGGCGCAGAGATGCGCGCATCCAAGCGCACAAATATCCATGGCCAGCTTGCAGGGCACCGCCAAGGCGCAGCACCGGCGGTTCCCAAGGTGCGAACTGGCAGAAAGCTGGGGCAGGCGGGCCAATGGTTAGCTGCTGGGCGCACGCACCGCAGCACTGGCCTCCAATAACGTCACTGCCAGATTCTGGACGAACATGTCGTCTTTCGCTGCTCGTCCTCGTATGCGCTTCTCCTTCCAGTCGCCTGCGTGTCTGCATCCCAGTGGCCCATCCACTGTATCTACGCCCCCTCGCGCACCCACAGTAGCCTCATCATTGCTGCCGTTTCGAGGCGCGCCCTGCTGCAATGCCGTCCAATTCCTCCACTGGGCCTGGACCCGCCAGCGCTGCTAACTCAGGTCATGCTTCGTACGCGACAGCTGCAGCCTCGGATCCTGTTTCGCGCCAAGGACAAGACGCTGACTCTGCCTCTGCTCTGCCCAAAAAGAAGAAGAAGACGCATCGTGGCGGAAAGAAGAGGCGCAACCGTCGCCCGTCCTTTGCCGCAGGAGCCGATCTGCCACAGGCTGACTCGATGGATGAGCGTCCCACCCTCGCCAACGCCGCCAGCCATGGCCAGTCACGAGGGAGCAGCAGCTTCTACCGCACCCACAGCAACCTCAGCAACACCAGCCTCGAGAGCGAGGCCCTGCTGGACCACCGCGAACAGCCCACCATCAGGACGCGTCGTCCAAGCGTGCCTGTGACGTCCATGTTCCCGCCTCGGGGGAGCCAATCCACCCCCAACCCCCAACGTCTGCAGCCCTCGAAGCCAGCAAACTCATACGGCAGGTCGCGCCTCTCGCATACCTCCGACCTGCTTCACCACAGCGATGCCGCCGACGACGGCGAAGACGACGACGACACCAACGACAGGACCCCCTTGATGAGCTCCTCTGTTCGTGACATCAGGTCAGGCACAAGCTATGGCTCAAACAGCGGCAACGCACGCAGCAGGAGCGGCACGTCCTTGTCTGCTCCCAAGCATATGGCGATGCCTGAACATCGACCCGACCTCTTCACCCAGCACCATCACTCTGCCACCAATCTCAACGACTACGATGTTAATAACCCCCCGTCCGTGCCCACCAGCCCGACCTTTGAGGCCCACTCTGGGCTGGACGATGTCATGATCCCAACAGATCTCGACCACATGTCCGATCCCGGCCGACCCAGCAGCAGGAATCGAGATGCGTTGATCAACATAGACGGGGACGAGCATGGAGGCTCACCTCCTTCTGCTGGCGATTTGAGACGTCGTATGACCACAACGGCACTTGAAGATGTCTGCTTTCCACACGAGGCCATGTCTGAAATAGGACACGAGGATTACATGAACGCGCCGACGACTGGTGAGCCCACGAGCCGACGGAGACGCCGCCGCTGGCCTGATCTCGATGTACTACAGGCCTGGGCAAACCAGGAGAAGGAGCAGCGGACCATGGATGGCATGCGCATGCGCAAGGTGAGCGAACCGCTCATGGTCGAAGGTCGTCTGCGTCCCAGACAACGCGTCTGGCACCGTGAGGCGAGCGATGCACCCTATCGGTTCACTTATTTTAATGAAACCTTTGACAATACCATCCACAGTCAAAGCATCAGCGAACTGCTGCAGCCCGGTCAAAGTTTCAGAAATCTGTTTGTCCCAGATCCCCCGATTATCGAAGACACTAGCGATAGCTCTGATACGGAGGATGATATGCTACACTCGGGTACCAATGGACATAGTTCGCGATCGGCTTCCAAATTGGACGGTAAGCACTCGTCTGGAGAGCAGACACGCTCGACCACGCCGCGTCCAGCAGAAACACCAAAGCCTGAAGATGAGAAGCCGAAGCGCTACGGCCCACGACCTGCGTGGTGGCTGGATGTCATGTCGCCCACGGAGACGGAGATGAAGGTCATTTCCAAGACATTTGGCATTCACCCCTTGACATCTGAGGACATTTTGATGCAGGAACAACGCGAAAAGGTCGAACTCTTCAAGCACTACTATTTCATCAACTATCGGACGTTTGAGCAGGACGAGAACAGCGAAGACTACTTGGATCCTGTCAACCTGTACGTGGTTGTGTTCCGGGAAGGTGTAATAAGCTTCCACTTTTCCTTGACACCGCACCCTGCAAACGTGCGTCGCCGCATCCGCCAACTGTCCGACTATCTGGTTCTGTCGCCTGACTGGATCTCGTATGCCATAATTGACGATGTGACGGATGCGTATGCGCCCATGATTCAGAAGATCGAGGAGGAAGTGGACGACATTGACGAAGCCATTCTGCGTCTTCACTCGAGCGATGAAGAACAAGAGGCGGAGAAGGAGAAGAGTCACAGCTACAACAACCCGCACTACAAGGATCCGCCCGAGGTCAAGTCACAGCAGGACACGGGCCGAGACATGCTGCGTCGGGTTGGCGAGTGTCGAAAGAAGGTGATGAGCCTGTACCGGCTGTTGGGCAACAAGGCCGATGTCATCAAGGGATTTGCAAAGCGATGCAACGAGCAGTGGGACATTGCACCCCGCAACGAAATCGGCATGTATCTGGGAGACATCCAAGATCATATTGTTACCATGACTGGCAATTTGAGCCACTATGAGAAGTAAGTGTGACAAGTGGGTTGGTGGAGGTGCAGACTAACGAGGAGTTACAGTCTTCTTTCACGCGCGCACAGCAACTACCTGGCGCAGATCAACATCCGGATGAATGAGCGGCAAGAAAAGACGTCTGACATTCTAGGCAAGCTGACGGTGCTGGGTACAATTGTGCTGCCCATGAACGTTGTGACTGGCATCTGGGGCATGAACTGGTAAGTGGATAAGATTACATGGGGCCAAGATGAGTTGCTGACCCAAAGCTAGTCTTGTGCCCGGACAAGATATTGAAAACCTTAATTGGTTCTGGTCCATTACTGGGGGCCTTATTACGTTTGGACTGGCCTGCTACTTTATTGCAAAGCGGGTTTACGGCATTGTTTAAGCACGAGCGGCGTAAAGAAAGTGAGCATTTTGTAGGGGATTGTAAAACAAACCCCTTTGGCGTTTAGGCTTGGTATACGTCGTGATGGATATGGCATTGTTGTTGGGGATTTCCTGTGGATCGAGATTGTACTGCATTGCTCTTCTGTTCCTAGCCTAATAGAAGATTCTGGATAGCTGCGGCGTCTAGTATGCTACTAATATCATTCCGACTTGGCGACTATGAAGAAGGGTTGATTGACATCGAGGGGCCATATGAGCGGAGCTGGTGCCACCATACGGAAGGACGCATGGGTTGGTATGATATTTGGCGCAGTGGGTTTTCGCAGTAGTGTGTGGTTCCGGTGAGCAGCTGATGGTGGCGGAGGCTGATGATATGTACATCTGTCAAGAGCTGTGGCAGGAGCTGAGCAGTGTACTAGGAGACGCCTGAGACGTGAACAATCATGCCGCCCCAATTTGCGGCAGGTTGCGGACCGCTGGTCATGGAAAGGAATCGACTCATTTGTAGTAGGACATTTTTGAGTCGCAATAGCACCTTTCTTCCACGTGTGCTATGCGCAGGGCTACAGAAACACTCAACAGACTGGGTGGCATCTTCTGGAACGGCCCGCGGGCAGCCTTTGGGTCGATTGGACAGCCTCTGGAGGGGACTGGGGGAAAAAAAGGTCGTCTGATGTCTCTCTTGGATGCTGCCTTGACTGTACATGCGTACGCAAAGTCGAATCAGAGGTAGTGGTAGTGCATAGGGCTAGCAGGGAGACCCCAGAAGTGTTGGGTCGCCTCACTACTATTAGGCGTTAGCAGTATGTATGCAGGTGTAAGCTGTGCAGCAGAGAGGGAGGAGACTGTGTATTCTCATGGCCCTCTGGCGGTGCTGCAGCCGGGCATTGCTGAAATAGCCACCGTCCAGTGCCGTGGATCCCAGGCGGGCCATGCTGGCGGCGTGACAGGCGGCGTGTCAGCGGATCGAGGCGTCTGCTCGGGCGACGTGCACATGGTCGCTGGCCGCGACCTCATACGGCATGCGGGGCTATGCGACGCAGGCATGGCGCAACGTCCGGTCACTCGTCGAGCCCACTAAAAGAAACTTCTAGCGAATGTGGCAGCGTGTAGGCAGCGGTTCGCATGATACCACGGCCGCTCTCCCGCTGTCGCTCCACGGCAATGGTAGGGCGGCCACGGTGCCCGCTGAGGGCGCTGTTGCACACCAAAGCACCGTCGCATAGGGCCGCCACCCATCTCCGTGTGCACTGCCCCTGCATGTTACTGACTGTGTACTTACAAGCCGCAGCATACGGCATGCCGTACATAATTGGCCCTGGGCAACCACAGCACCTGCGCCCAAGGCCCATGTCTGATTGCATCCTGGTCGAGGCCTGCGGACAGTACCCCCATGACGTCAACCGGGTGCTGCGTTCCAGCATCTGGGCAGTCGAGAACCCAACCCTGTCTTCTGACGCGATCCGCCCTCCATGACACTTGACGTCGTCTGCCTCGCTGCCTCGCTGCCTCTCCTGCCCTCCCTCTCTCTTATTACCCCGCCGGCGTCTGCTATTCCACCCCAAGTACCAGCATTGCCCGTCTCCCATCGTGTACCTACCTGCCCGGCCTGATCCCCCTCCCTCTTCACCAATCGACCACGGCTCGCAAGCGACGGGGGGCTGCCTTTCACACTCACATCAGCAGCGCCGTGTAGCCGCTGGCTGAGTAATAGCCAAGCATCCCATTTCCTGGCCGACACACACTGCCCGCAACAAATACCCTTTTGCGCCCGCTTCCGCCTTGACCACAACTTACCCCACCACCCGCCCTTCAACCACTTCCCCACTCTTCCGCCGCACCAATGTCCGTCATCTACAAGAAGACGGAGCGCGAGCGCGAATGGGACACCGGCTCATCGCGCAATGGCGGCGGTGGCTACACCACGGTCAGGCGCTACAAACTCCCTGATCGCACCCTCGAGGAAGACACATACGAGTCCGAGATGCGGCTGGTCCAGCGCAGCCGCAACGACTTTGACGACCACCGCTCCGTCAAGGACTACGTTATTGAGCGAAGCGTCGAGCCTGTTCGTGAAGTCAGGCACTACCACTATGCCGACCGTTCGCCCTCACCACAGCGATCCGAGTACCGCATCCACCGCGAGTATGAGCGTGAGTATGAGCGTGCCCCCTCTCCAGCACGCACTGAGATCCGCATCTCGCGCGAATATGAGCGTGACGAGGAAATCTTCCCCCGGGAGCAGCCGTACGAATTGGAAAAGTATTCCAGGTCCACCGAGTATTTCCGCCCTGAACCGCAACCGCAGCCACAGGCCACTCCCCAGTCCATCTACATCCGCAATGAAGCCGCCCAGCCTATGCAGATGCAGATGCAACCCATTATTATCCGAGAGGAGGCCCCTCAGCCCATCATCATTCGTGAACGCGTACCGGAGCCCGTCTATGAAGAGGAAAGGCCGGCTGTTCGACAGCAGCAAGAGCAGGACTACTACTATGAACGTCGATACAAGGAGATTGACCGTGGACACCATTACGACGAGGAACAGAACTACTACAGCGATGATGACGTGTATTATTACAAAACCAAGGATACCTGGGGTGGAAGCGAAACCCGCGTCAAACGTGACGTCGCTGCAGGTGCCCTTGCTGGCGTCGCTGCTGGCCAGATTATCAGACATCACCGCAAGAGAAAGGGTGAAGCACCTGGCGGCTCCATTGGTAATGCCCTTGGCTATGGCACGCTAGGTGCCGTGAGTGCCGTAGCTCTCGACAGGTTCAACAACCGTTCCCGCTCTCGTTCTCGGTCTGTCTCTTTGGACAGGGGTAGAGAGCACCGACGTCACAGGTCTCGTCACCGCAGCAAGTCGCGTCACCGCAGCAAATCCAGGGCTCGAGAGCTTGGTACTCTTGCCGCTCTCGCAGGCGTCGGAGCTCTTGCCTACGCTGCTGGACAAAGGAACAGGGCCAAGACTAAGGAAGAGACGGTCACAATCATAGAAGATCGACACCGCAGCAGGTCGCGTCATAGGAGCAAGTCACGCCATAGGAGGGGCCGCAGAAAGTCGAGGTCTGTCTCGGTGGTATCAGACAGGAGTAGGTCTCGTAGTACGAGCAAGCACATGGACCCCGAGCACCGCAATAAGCGAGTAGCAGAAGTTGGCCTAGCTAGTGCTGTTCTCGCTGGCCTCGCTGAACGACGACGCAGCAAATCTCGGAAGCGTGAGGGAAAGCGCTCTCCAAGCCGCATTCGACAGGGTGTACCGATCGCTGCCGCTGGTGTCACTGGCGCAGCTATCACTGGACTCTATGAGAAACGCAAGGCTAAGAAGGAAGCTAGGGAAGCATCGCGCTCGAGGTCAAGGTCACGTTCCAGATCGAGGTCAGTCCTCTCCCGTCTTACCGGGCGCAGCCGTAGCAGGCGTCAAAGTACAGTGAGTGAACCAGTCTTAGTAGAGTACGGCGGTGATCCGATCTACACCGATCGTCCAGCAAGAAGTCGGAGCCGTAGCCGCAGCCGTAGTCGCAGTCGAGACCGAACCCGCTCGCGCCGTAGACGTCGACGAAGCTCTTCTTCTTCTTCTTCGGGCGGTAAGAGCCGGAGCCGGAGTAAGAGTCGGGCACGGGCGGTTGCAGAGACGGCAGCAGTTGCTGGTGTGGCCGGTTTGGCTGCTCATGAGGCAACAAAGAGACGGGATCGTAAGAAGGCCGAAAAGGAAGCCGAAAGACGACGTGAGTCCACCCTTCGCCCATATCGGAACTAGTTTGCTCAGAAATCAACAGGCGAGGAGGATTCGGCATACTCGACTGGTACCTATGAAAGTCCATATGGTAGCCCTACCGCATCCACAGCCTATACCAATGATTCACGCTACTTCCCTGAGACGAACTATTTCCCTCCACCTCCTAATGCACCCGCCGTCGATCCCAACGCTCACAGTCCTTACCCACCCTACAATCCAGCTGACTACCCCCCTCCACCTAATACCGCTTACGAACCCAACCATCCATCGCAATACATCCATCCGCCTCATAGCGATGTCCATGTCGGAAACCCGTATGCGCCTCCTCAACCACACGATGCTTACTATGGCCAACCCCGTCGTACGGACGGTAATGTGAGTGCTCCAGCCCCTAATCATATCGGTAACGAGCACAAAAACTTCGCTTCTGCACGTGGTGGGTTTGGGACGCTGCCAGCCGGTGGTGCTGAACATCATTGCTGATATGTGAATAGGTCCCGTAGAGAAGTCTCGCAGTCCTAGTCCAGCTCCTCCAACTCCTCCAACTCCTCCAGCTCCTCCAGCTCCAGAGGAAGAGAAAAGTGTCAAGTTCAATCTAGAGCCGCAGGAGGAGCCCGCTCGAGAACCTTCTCGAGAGCCTTCTCCTGACGGTGACGAGAGCGATAAGGAACATCGTGGGCACAGGAGACGGAGGCGACATCGAGACGATGATAACTCACAAAGTTCGAGGGAGTCTGGCAGGAGTCGTAAGAGACACCACCGAGACGAGTCTCCTGGGTCGGATGCATCCGATGCGACGATTGAGCTGCCACCACGCTTCGACGAGAACGGGCAGAAGAGGCTTGAGGATCCACTGGCTGATACTTTGGAGAGCGTTTTGGCTTCAATTTTCCGATAGTGTTTTGTTGGTTTCACGTCTTAATACCTTTTTTTGGATACCAGATTTTTATTTTAATGACTGTTACGATGGGTTTTCGGTATGTCTATGATGACATTATTTGATGACTGTTTTATGTTTTGCATCCGAGTAATGGTAACGAAGTCACGACACTTTGTAGACTCATATAGCATTGATATACCTGAGTATGAACGACATTCTTTTTTTACTTGTTAAATTTTCGATATTGTCATCTTTCTACGAGCCAGGAAATTGAATTCAAATAGTCATCATCAGTTTCATCCACAAGCTTGAGGTACACTTTTGTGCCGTCAATTGGTTCGTTGTTGAAATGCTATGTGTATGCTGTTGCGTGTTCTGATAGTGTGAAATCATAGATAGATAGCATTGGTAGCCTCCAGTGCGTGCCTTCCCAAGCAAAGCGTCGTTACTGCTTGTACAAATATTTGGCCTCAACACATTTGCAAGCCTTGTCTTGTCAACCTCTCCCACTTTCTTCCTCCATCTCTCCTCTACTCGTATTCCATCACTCGTTTCTTTTCCTCCATAATCTGTGGCCATGTTCCTGCACCACTACTGCATCCTCCTCCTCACTCTGCTAACAACCCTATCCCTCGCTTCATCTACCACCTCCTCCCCTTTCCCTTGCACCGGGTACATCTCCCCCAATTATCCTCCATCATTCCTTTACTAACATTAAATAGTGGCTCCATATACTTCACCGCCCACACTGTCGACAGCCTACTCTTCCAGAACCCGGACGTGCTTCATGATCTGTTCGTGTTCAAGTGCGTTATTACGGTCGTGTTCAATGCGGATACGGGAGGCGAGGCCAGGAACGAAACGAGGAGGGAAGAGTTGGAGTATGGGTTGGGCAGGGCGTATGAGATTATGTCTAGTGCATCGTTGAGGGGGTCAGGGGGGAGTGGTATGAATGGGTTGGAAGGAGCACCCGCAGGTAAATATCACCTGAGAGACTGATTTCCTGACTAATTCTAATTCAGACAACCCAGTTCGCAACAACACAAAGATTCCACTCTACAAATATGATGTCGCGGCTTCGCCTCTTCTGGGTCTATCCAATGTTCAAATCCTCTTTCTTCGTCTACCAGACAGCACGTATTACGGCCAGGGATATCGTGCTTGCCGAGAGGAGTCGTTGAAAATGCTATACAGCGCAGAAATTTCTCGCATTACAGCCACTGACAGAGCTGCTACGTATACGATCAGAGATTTGAAGGAGATCATCGCAACAATCCTGCGTGAGAGGCGTGCAGACGATATCCACGTACTGAACTACCTGGCGTCGCTCTCGACTGGCCAAGATGACTATCAACTCGAACATGCTGACCGTATCATGTCTGCCAAGCTCGTCATGGATGTTGTAAAGGAGGAGGGTATTGAGGGGAGAGTTGTAGCGTAAGTTCTTAGTCGAGTTCACTGGGTTGTGCGCTAAAAGTGGTAGACATGGCTGTGACGAGGTTCGCAACCAGGGGGTCAATCTCAACACCCCTGATTACATCAACAAGGTCAATGCCTTTTTCGAATATGCCAAATACGATCCTGACATGGTAAGGTTTGCTTGTCATGTGTTGTTTATGTTGCAAGACCTATATCGACTTCATGCTAACAGGTAGCTAGTGTCAGAGTGTTGACGAGTGTGGCGAGCGACTCTCAAAAGCAGGCACATCAATAGGTGGCTATAATGAGGGCGACTACATCTACGAGTTTCTAAAGCGGGAGTACTACGTCACATAATGCTGGTACGCAATTCTTGAGATGGACGGCGATGATTCACTTTTGGAACGTACTCGAAAACAACAATGTGGATTAATGATATTACCAGAGTAGAGTGAGTATATCTTAGGTATTGGCAAAAGGCAAAAGTAGAGATACTAAGCGATTTGTACCACAAATGTAATCAAAAATCTCTCGGTTGATTCTTTGAAAAAGAAGAAAAAGTAAATACATATACAAAAAAAAGGATTATACGCTAAATTCTCACCTCCCTTACTCGTCCTCGTTATTCTTCCACCCCATCTTGCGCTTGGTATCAAACTCATTCTGAGTCATCCTCCTAGCCGGAGGTGTCTGTCCCTTGGAAGGAGACCTGGGCGGCGTGATCGTCGCACCCTCATCCTCTTCGGGCTCCCAAGCCCGTCGCTTCGCCAGCATAGCCTCGAGCTGCGGGTCCCTGCCATCACGGTTGGGCACTGGGGGAGGCGGTCCCTTGCGCGACACACTTGGCTTCCTGAACGGGAGCGCAGGCCTGGCGTTCTCCATGGCACTGGGAACGGGCTTGACCTGGCCCTTGATTTCGCGGACAATGGGCACGTCGGAGACGGGGATTGCGCCGCCGAGGCGGACCATGGGGGCGGGTGTGGAGGGCGCGATGGGCTTCGCGGGGGTGATGGGCGTCTCTGGGATGTCCTGGGATTCGTGGACGGGGACGGCTCGGCTTCCCAGGCGGAAACGACCGATTTTTTGGTCGCCGACGGCGGGGAGCGAGTAGTTGATTTCTTTGGCTTGGCCAGCTGGCTTGGGGGCAGGCGGCGGTGGTGGGGGTGCGCGAGCGGCGGATTTGTTGACGGGGGCGGTGACGGGGAGAGGTGGTGGTGGTGGCGGTGAGGTGGCCTTTCTGGTGGGAGGAGTGGCGGGTGGTGAGGGAGGCGAGGATGACTTTTGAGGGTAGTTTGAGTTGCTATTGTGGCTGCTGCTGCTATTGTTGTGATTGCTATTGTAGCTATTGCTGTGGTTGTTGCCGCTGCTGTGGTTGTTGATGGTTGTGGTTGTGGTAGTTCGTGATGTGCTTTCGATCCAGGACTCGATACGGCCACCGCTCTGTTCTCGTGATCCAGATGACATCTACAGAAAAAGCGGCATGTTAGTAAAATGTTCAAAGCACTTGTCGCATAAGCGAGGCATGATTTGAAGTGCAAGTCGTTTACTTACCTGATCCTCTTGATAACTCCTCTCCGAGCGTATTAGTCTCGCAGATTCGGCCAGAGCTCGCTGTATTTCCTCCTCCTCTTCCCGTTCTCTCCGTTCAGCCTCTTCTCGTGACTTTGCCATCATGTACTCCATGTCCTTGTCCATTTGCAGTTGGATCTGTCGCTCATACTCTTCTTTGCTTTTCCTTTCCACTTCCCTAGTACGTTCCTCAGATGCCCATTTTTGCCTCTCCTGTGCCCTTAGAGCCTCTTCGCGGCGTTTCTTCTCAGCAAGTCGCTCCTCTTCTTGTCGATGTCCTCTCTCGAGGACCTCTCGTTCTCCACGACGCAACTCCTCCTCCCGCTCCTTGGCTTCTCGGCGACGCTGCTCGTCATATTTCTTTTGTTCACGCTCTATCGCCTCTTCCTCCCTCTTGCGAGCTACACTGAGACATCGGTTGCATATGCCTTCACGGTCCCAGGTCTTGATAGTGAATCGGTCTTTGTTGTTCGGGTTATCGCGGTCACAGTGGAGATTGCTTCTTTGGAAGTATGGGCATCCGTATGTGTCGACGTGGTCCTCTTGCGGGTGCCCGCATTCGAGCGTAGCGATTGTGAACCTGCACATGCTCGGTGTATATGAGAATAGGGATGGGGGGTGGGGGGGCGGGCAAATGTGTACAAGGTGGGATTATTAATGGGCAAGTGCGGTGCTATAATAGCGCCTTTAAGTAAATGTAATGGATAGAGAGAGAAGAGAGGGATTGGAGGGTCTGCAAATCATCGGCGAACGGTACTTATACATGCAAGATGTTGACCGCCATGGGTCTGCTAGTGAAGTGCGGTAAGAGCGATGGCCTTGTACACGTAGTAGCACAATGACTCTGAAACACGCCTCGAGAAAGTCGCATAGAAATCCTGCAGGCTCGAAGACGCCAAATCGGACACTACTTACAAACATGCGTACAACACATCAAACGGCTAGCAGGTCCGCGCACAGCGCCGCGGGTGAGGCGAGCAGAGGCCGATTGGCTATCGGCTGCAGCATCGTTCCACCGGTGACGGATTCAGAGGCATTTACTGTGCGTTGCTTTGCCCACCGAATGTATCCTGAGGACGCTGCAGGCTCGCAAGGCGCACCCAGCGTTTGTAGTGGCAGACCCACTGGGCATCAGACGTGGTAGAGCGCCAGAGGCACAATTCATTGGTCTCGCTCGTGCTGGGCAATGAACCGTCTCCGGCCCAAAACAGTCAGAGCATCGGAAACTGCCAGCAAAGCCATGGCCCCGCAGCCTGTGAGGACAACCTGACAAAAGAAAAATGAAGCATCCGACTGTGTGGTGAGCATGAGCAGCATGGTCAGAAGCGACAGTGTCGGTGGAGCTTGCTACGTGGCGGGCTCAGCCGTAGTGGGGATGCATGCCTCGCCACAACAAGGGCAGAGAGCAATGTGAATCGAGCAGCACGGCCTTTAGAGTCGTGGAGACCCGGGGAACACGCGATCGAGCATAAACGTCGGGCATCAGGAAAACATGAAGCCAATACTGGCAAAGAAGTTGACGATGACAGAGACAGATGCTCGTTCGGGCTGGTACTTGGTGGAGACTCCAGATGCAGCCAATTAGAGCGGGTTGATTGCAATAATCCCTGCACGGCTTGGCACTCTCGACGAGCTTCATCGTTGACGACTTCAATCGACGCCATCGCCTCACGCCCGCAGTCACAACCCACCATGGCCTCAAGACTGGTACCCTTTGCCTGCCGAATTGCCCCACGCGCTTCTCGACCGTTCCAGAGGGCTCAATGGCGGGCCTTCAGCGTCTCGCGCCCCGCGTGGAATGAGAGCGGCTCGCTCAACGTCGTATGTACTTTTTGCCCGCAATTGCAGCGCTCACAAATAAAACGGGGAGGGGGCTAATTGCGTCTTTTGCAGCACCGCGACACGCCCGAGAACAACCCCAAGATTCCCTTCAAATTTACGGCGCAAAATGAGGAGCTCATCAAGGAAATCGTCTCGCGGTACCCCTCGCAATACAAGAAGGCAGCCGTTATGCCGCTTCTCGACCTCGGCCAACGCCAGCACGGATTCTGCAGCATCAGCGTCATGAACGAGGTTGCGCGGATACTCGAGATGCCGCCCATGCGTGTATACGAAGTTGCCACTTTCTACACAATGTACAACCGGGACCCCGTGGGCAAGTACCACGTCCAGGTCTGCACAACTGTAAGTTTTTCGGGAGTTGGAATGTGACAATTGGAGCATGACATTGATACATTTCTAGACCCCCTGCATGCTCTGCGACAGCGATGCTGTCATGAAGGCTTGCGAAGACACATTGGGTGTCCACCACGGCGAGACTACGCCAGACGGTCTCTTCACATTCACAGAGGTGGAATGCCTCGGTGCATGTGCGAATGCCCCTATGGTCCAGATCAACGATGACTACTACGAGGACCTTACATACGACTCGACTGTCAAGCTCCTCAAGGCCCTGAAGCACTCCGCCCAAGCGACGGGTGCTCAATCCGGTGAGCTGCCAACGCCAGGTCCATTGAGCGGACGACAGTCGTGCGAGCCCGCCGGCGGCTTGACTTGCCTGACTAGCGAGCCGTGGGGTAACGAGACTCTGAGGAAGGATGGTGCTTTGTAAAAAATAGGAAAAGAGAGATTGTAAATAGTGAACCATCTTTCTTTCTCGCGAATTTCAGGCAACAGTCTTGGGGTAGCTGATATTTCCAGCTACTTCGTGTAGACTATTTCAAATCATTTAACAGTACGTATGTGGCACTTGGCTGCAATTGAGTGATGCTTGTATCTTGATATTCCCCTCGACCTTGGCACGCCTGACGTAATACTAGTCTTGACAGATTTGCACAAGTACATCCAAGTCTGCTCATGCACCAAGTCAATACCAAATCACAGAAAATAGTACCTCTAATAGTGCAAAACATATTGAAATTCTTCTATTCGCAAGCGTATTCCTAACGCACACTTGAGACTGTCGTTTGTTGTACAAGTAGTATACCATCTCGGTTCCATACGCAGTCGGGACTCGAGATGCGTCTATGTGTAACGTAACCCATAGCCCTTCTCTCCTTGAATTGCTGTCCATTTTTTAGATAGAGAGAAAATTAAGGCGGAAGAATTCAAAGCAAGTGTGAAGAAAGAAAGAAAAAGTAGGTACAAGGTGCAGTTTGTAAACGACTCTAGTCAAAGAAAAAACGCCGTCGCTATATTATCCATCAAATGAAGGGGTGTTAAAAGTTTTCCCCAAATCAAATCCCCAGGCCAAGCTGGTCCCAATGCAATGCTGTTGGCTTTATTTTTGGTAGTCTCCAGAATATTCGTAATCGGTTCTGCTTATCTTCATTCCCGAAGGTGGATGGTGGTTCGTTTGGTCGTCAATGTATCGCTATCTTTCCGGAGGGGTGCTTCGTAATGCGACGCTTGCATCATGTTGATACTTGGAATCGTTTGTTCTTACAAGAAGCCCGAGTTCCATTTGCCCATGAGCAAATCTCGAGTCATTTCGAAGCTGAGCCAGCTGCTCGCCATGCTAGGCGCAACCTTAAGTAGATTAGGGACAATACCCTTATACATGCCCCTGAATCCTTCTGTCTTGATAATCTGCTTGACAGCATCGCCAACACCTGCGTACTGGTATCCCATACCGCTCATAGTGTTGATCTGGAATCTTCGTCGCAGGACGTCGAACGGGTATGTAATGGTTTGCGCCACAGCACCAGAAACAGCACCGGCTGCCAGCTTACCAAATGCACTGGGGTCTTTCTCGCCATCGCGTGTGAACTGGGTACGGGCCATTTCATAGACCATGAAGTTGAGGCCAACGTATGGTGCAACACCAGCTACTGTAGGGATGATACCGCGATATAGTGCCGGCATTCCGCCCTCGGTTTTGTACATGTTCACAAGGAGTGCCCACATACCCGGTAGTTTCTGGCCGGCCTCTTTCTTGAGGCTCGAGAACGATGCAGACTGGATCGACAACCGCGTGCGGACGATGTCGAGCGGATACGTAAAGGTAACAGAGGTGATACCGGCAAGACCTCCACAGAGTAATCGTTGGTAAGCATCGAGCGGTGCACCCGGCTCACTCTCGAAGAACTAGTACAAATTAGCCATCGTAATTGGGGGGTTGCGCCCGTAGTCATTGTCCTTGTGCAACTATCCCAATTCTCTCCTCTTTGTCGGCGACCATACCTACGTAAGCCCTCCGCCAACTTACCCTATCCAGTCTCCGCTCCATGTGCGCTTGATCCCCTCATTCCATTTGTTCAAAAAGCAAGTCGCTCACCGGAAAACAAAGCAAATGGCAGATATTCCAAAAAGTCACTTACCCGCTTATAGACATTGTATGCACTAAATTGCACAGCAGAGTATGGAACAATGCGAATGCAGTTTGTGCCATTTCCGGCCATGAAACCTCTCCAGCCCTCTTCCCTCCACATCTTGGCTAGGGCCTTGGGTACTGACATTTTGTATTCCTCGCGACCGACGCTCTGGACTTGGAATATGATCTTGAGGCGTTCGAGAGGGGAGACGACGGTCCGGGAGACTGCGCCAGCCACGCCGCCTGCAACAAACGAGGCTAGGACCGGCTGCGCAAAGACCTGTCGAATGCGCTGGAGGCTTGTAATGTCGGGCGTGCCGAGAGGCTGCATGTACGTGTCAATTAAATTGTTGAGGGTATGGACTGCGCTGGTACATACTTTTATGCCGTTTCCTGGCTCGTCGCTCATGATGGCGGCCCCCTGTGGTTGCGGCTTTTCCGTGGATTTGGACATGGTGTAAATCTAAACTGTTCGGAGTATCGCACTGGTGGTAGGCGGAGCGGGTCTGGTGCTGCCGGAGTAAAGGCAGGATTCTATCGAAGCAAAGAAAAGGCCGCGCGACGTGATTTCGAGGTCATCGGAGGTGACTGTTTCGGAGGTGTAGACGGTTTTCTCGCAGTGAGGCGGGCGGGTACGGACAATTCGCGGTGAATCCGATCTTCCATGCAAGGCAGCTAGACGGTGATTGTTTGCACTCCGGGGTGCGCGTATCTCATGGGTCCTGCGGCGCAAATGAGGTTGCGGTGTTTGAATGGGCTGGATGTGGAGATTTGAGGACAGCGGGAGGACGAGGCAGATTTTAGTCTAGCGCGCCGCGAGCCAACGAATGTTGTCCGCAACGCCTTTGTAAATGACCACGGTACTCGCTGACAGCCCTGTCCGGTACTTCGCGATGTCATACTTGGCTCCGACTGATATCTGTTGTCCTTTTCCGATTGCAACATGTTTGCCGTGTTCCGCTGCCAACGAGCTACAGGTGCAGCACATGCCTCTCACCGAGTCAATCGGACTCGGGCGGCATCAAATTGCATCATGTCGCACAGTCTTGGGACGTGGAAACCACACACATGCTCCCATCGTAGGCTAGCCAGGGGAGGGCACAAGGGCATTCTAGAAGAATCCGGCCTTTCGCCTCACCACCCCTTACTACTACTAGGGCGTCACAGTCAGCTGGGCACCACATCACCCCTTTCAGTCAGCCGCCATCGAAGCCACATATGATTGTTTGCACGCGTCCTGTCTTGTGTGCTTTTGCTGTACCTGGCCGGCGATGTGAGCCGCTGTTGATCCTTATGCTGCTGAACAGTGGTGGTGGTGGTGGTGGTTTACCCTGTACCCGGAACGCTCCCACAGGTACTCCGGTATGACTACTATGACGATGTATCAAGGCTTTTTCTCCAAGGGCCACACGACCCAAGACCAAGCTGGGAAAATCTGTTGTGGAGAATATAGGAGATAGCGGGGTAATACACACATCGGCCGTGGAAGGGATTCGTCATGGTTTGAATATCCCGAGGTCGACCTCGAGGATGCGATAATATCTCGGGTGGTTGGATGCGAACGGCGCAGCCACGAATTCCCGCTGTGCTTAGAGGGACCAAGATGCCTTCTGGATAGAGCTTTTGGTTGTATTAATCGTACCGCCTCTACTAAACGTTTCCTGATGAATGCGAATCGATCTGGAGCTGGTGTGCTGCAGGATGTTGAAATGGTCGAGGTACCATGCGTACCCGTTATCGATAAGTAGTCATATGAGATTATCTAGCCCGCAAAGAGCGAGATATGAAATTCTTCCTCTGCGTCTTCACAATGTTATCGCGTCGCCTCTTTCGGCAAATTACTGATGGCTTGCTATTGGGTTCTCGTGTTTATCTAGAAGCTACTGTGTGTTTTGCTTCAGCGTGTTCGACATGTAGCTCTCGCACTCATATTTTTGCACAATCAATACGTCATTCGTCCTCGTCCTCGACTAGATGGAAGTCGCGACAGGGCAGGGACTTTTTTGCCAAGGAAGCACGAGTTCAAGGCCTGAAGAGCCGTGCTGCCTTCAAGCTGCTTGAGGTGGGAGCGCATCACGGTAAAAACTGGGCAGTGACTAATATATCACAGCTCAACGACAAACACAAATTCTTTAGACCTGGGCAAACAGTTGTTGACTTGGTAGGTCTGCAACTCTGCATTGAGTAATTGGGAGTTAACGTCGCCAGGGATATGCACCAGGGTCGTGGTCTCAGGTTTGTTGATGGAATTTCTTTCTATTGGCATCATCTCACGCTGGTCAGGTTGCCGTGAATCGCACATCTCCAGACGGGCGAGTCATTGGCATCGATCTGATCCCTGCCCAACCTCCTCGAGGTGTTTCAACTATCCAAGGGGATTTTCTATCACCTATTATTCAAGATCAGGTGCGAGCATATGTTCGAGATACAGATCTGGGTCGGCCTAGGAGACAGGTTTCTTCGAGCACAAGCGAAGGACTCACTGAGGAAGAACTAGATGAAATGCAGCGGGGTTATATTGAGATAGAACGCCAGACACATTTGGATGGTACAGACCCTGAAGCTATTGGACGGCCGCCCAAGGACAGAGATGGCGACAAACCAATCTCGACCAATCTGTCGCTCCAAGAACGCGACAAACAGCGGGGAAGAACAGTAGACGTGGTACTCAGTGATATGTCAGAACCCTGGGACCAGACTACCGGCTTCTACAAAAAGAGCCTTAGTGACCCTTATATTAGGATGATGAACACGAGCGGCAATGCTTTCAGAGACCACACGGGCAGCATGGTCAGTAGTGTTCCTCTGAGCTGCAAACAGACTATTGACTGGGACAGGATCTATGCATGGCAGCTCTGATGTTTGCCTTTGACACGTTAAAGACCGACGGCCACTTTCTCTGCAAGTACTACAAAGGGGCCGAGGAGAAGGCTTTTGAGATGAAACTCAAGCGTCTCTTTGCCAAAGTACATCGGGAAAAGCCCGAGTCGTCACGGGCTGTATGCGACCTTGAGCTCCTTGTGTTCAACGCTGATAGCTACAGGAATCCAGAGAGGCGTACTTTGTAGCACTGCGTCGCAAAGAGACACCGACTAAAGAGGGCGTCTTTGGCGAATGATGACTTGGACGGTGCTTGGCTGTTCCAGCGATACTACGTATATCTATACATTCGGTCCGAAAGCGTCACATACCAGAGTTCATCAGCCACATGGGTGTATGATAGGCACCATGTGAAGTGTGGGGAAGGCCGGCTTCAGGTTTATCAGACACACTCTCTTGTGTACAGGGTGCGTGGTGTACCAGGCTTCGCCAGGGGCCATAAAACTAACGCTGGACTCAGTTTGAGTAAATGCAAAATCAAATCTGCCACCAAGAAGTCCAAGTATGTGATACAAGTGATGCAACGATTACTCGGTCAGGGTCAGCGCGGATCTGGCTGAATGGGCTCTCCATGTCGGAGCCGTGTCCCGTTCCTGGTCCCAGGGAACAGGCACATGGATGGCAGGCAGGAGTTAATATGGAAAGATCTAATAACGGATAGGACCCGGTGCTAACTGCAGTCGGCCATATCTGGTGACTGTTCTGGACGCGTCTCGTCGCATTTCGGACGACATGTCAAGCGTTTTTGTGGGCCTTGTGGACAGGGATGTCAGAGTCTGAGGATGCTCGTGGCGCTGCGTCATGGCGTGCTTGCATTGCTGATCCTGTCGGTCGCATATTGGGACCGGAAGGGGGGAGGGGGAAGTGTTCTTAGTGTTCTCCTTCTCGAGTGCTTTTGCGGGTGCTGTTCCTTTGCGCGCGCGCTCGCCTCGAGGGAGGCGGCTCGAGGCAACGCTTTGATGTCGGGCCTGACCCGCTCGGCTGGTCCAAGGGCTGACTTCGAAGGCTTCTAGAGCCGAATCCTAACCTTATCACGAACCGCACTTTCTTCCCATCAACCCACTGATCAATCTAATCCAAGCTGTGCGACGTGGCCAATGAGTGCCGGCGATGGATTTCAATAACCCTAATGCGTACGGCGGCCAGTTTGCCAATTCCCCGCAACACGCCCAGTTTGATACACAGGCGCGCCTCCAGCAGCAACCAAACGCTCCAGGCCAGTATGCCCAGCACGCCCCGTTCGCCGGCATGGGTGGCGCCATGGGAAATAGTGTCATGCCGTCTGGAGCCCCGTATCTCCAGCAGCGAGGTAAGCCAGTGTGGATTGACTGATTGTGCGCGATCTGCCTTTTCGCTTTTGGTCTGACACCATGCCGCAGCTGCCCTCCAACCGCAAGCACAGCAGCAGCAGCAACAACACCAGCTGTCGTCGCCTAGCCCATACTCGAGCGCGCCCTTCGCGCAGCCTATGCCCTCGCCTGCCCATCAGCAACAGTTTGCGCAGAACCGCCAGACGGCCTCACCCGCGAGCGTCACCGGACAGCCGCCCTTTGCGACCCCCCAACCCCAGCCCTCGCCCAGCAGCTTGCCTACAAACGGCCACCAGACGCCCATGAATCTCCAGCTACCCATCAAGTCGGAGCCGCCTCAGCTGCAGACACCCGTCAAGGCAGTGCCCCCGTCGCCCATGTCGCCCAACAACCCGGCGCGTAGTCAGGACCGCGTCGCGACGCTCCTCGAGATCAACAGCATCCTCATCAAGGAGGTGTGCGATCTGCAGGCGCAGGGCAAGGCGGGTCATGTAGGACCCACGCCTGAAGGGAAGCCCGAGGGCGAGAAAGCGCAACCGTCCAAGGAGTATGTAGAGTATGTACCTCCCTCCCATTGTTGTCATTACTCATTCTTCGCGTCGCCATAGTCTTGTCTGGCCTCAAAACCAAGCTAACCAAACCTACCTACACAGCTACATGCGGCGCCTACAAGCCAACCTGGCTTACCTTGCCCAAAACGCCGAAAAAGTGCCCAAACCAGGCCAACAAATGCAACCAGGACCCGCCATCATGTCGGTTCCGCCCTCGCATGCAGACCTCGCCAAGCTCTACACCAAGCTCCAAGAATTATTCCCTGGTTGGAAGGGCCAGTCGGCCCAGATGAAACAATCACCGGGCCCACAACGCGTCGCCTCAAATCCCGGTCCACAACAACTTCAACAGCAGCAACAACAACAACAACAACAACCGCCGAATAGTGCGGGCTTGCATCAAAGTTGGGGGCCTGGAGTCATGCAGCAGAGCTTGCAGCTTGCGCAGCAGCAAGCTCAGCAGCAGCAACCGCCGACATGAGTCATTTCTATTTTTGGATAATGAGAAGCGGGGGATATAGAGGCAGTAAAGAGGAGGAAAGGGGAAATGGAGGGGGGGAGGGGGAGGGGAGGGTGAGGAGAAGAGAGCAAGCAGCCGTTGCATCGCGGGCGTATGGACGGGGCTTGGCTTGAATTCTGTATTATATATATACCATTAACTTCTTCTTCCTTTTTCAACAGAAAGGGAAAACATGCATTTCAGAGACAGATATGTATCAGGCAGAGAAGATGGGGGACAACCAAGAAAAGCAGTGGAACTAGGTGCTGGTATTTTTTTTTTGATTTGATGCAGCACTGGAATGGGCGTTTGTTTGTTTGTTTGTTGATTTCCTGGTTCTCTCTCTCTCTTTTTTTTTTGGATAAATGTTTTGATAAATAAGCCTGATTATTTTGGCTTGCAATAAAGATGTTTTTATAAAAAAAATATTCCAATATTTCTTTGTTTCTTTGTTTCACAGATTGTTCGATTGGAGACGAAGTTTTTCCTTTTTTTTTTTAGTATACATGGGAGATATGTAGTTATCTTGAATCGTGTGATGAGAAAAAAAAATACATGTGTAGTGAGAAAGAATCTTGGGCTACTCTACTCAGCAATCTCCAATCTCGATTCTGACATAAGAACCTTCTTCTACCTCCTGCTCCGCCCGCCAATGCCGTCCAAAGCCCAGAAGGGAAACCTTCTCTCCCTGTCGCTTCCTCGGTTAATTCATATGGCAAGGATGCAAAGTACATCTGGATTCATCTTCATTCGTGTACACGGACGACACACACACACCGAATGACGAAAAGAAGAAGCAAGTACGACACGTTTTATGAAAAAATCAAGATGATGCATGTTTATAAGGCGACGCCATGATATATGTACAAACGCCTTTTTTGTGAGTTACATTCTCATCCATCACCAGGAACACCACACACACCCCCGCCTTAGCCACCCCACATCTGTTGGAAAATAAAAAGTATAAGGAGAAGAAAAAGGAAAAAAAAGAAGAGAAAAGGCTAATCTACAAAGAAAAGAGAGAGAAAACCTAATCTCTTAAGAAGAACCAGCGTAGACCTTTCCGATGGGAGAAAGACCATCGCCAAGGTTGAGCTGGTTCTCGCCGGTGCCAACCATGAACCATGAGTAGCCCTGGACATCGTCTGAGGTATCGAGGAAGGCCATGCAGTCCTTGAGGAAGCTAGCGGCTTGCTCCTCGGTGGCGGATCCAGAGTTGAGACCGAACTCGGTGATCCAGACCTTCTGGCCGTAGGTCTGGGCGGCCTGCTTGACGTGAGCAGTGAAGCGGTCAATGGTCTGGTCGTCGTAGACGTCGTAGAAGTGGATGTTGGTAGCGTCGACCTTGGCGTCGGGGCAAGCGGTGTGGAAGCGCGAGAGCCAGTCGAGTCCGAGAGGGGCCTGGCCGTTGCTGACCGAGGGACCGATGATGGTGACGTCGGGGTAGGCATCCTTGACGGGGTTCATGTACTCCTTCCATGAGGAGCAGGCGGCCTCGGGGCTGAGGTTGCACTGAGCAGCAATGTCGCACTCGTTGAAACCCATGACGGCCTTGGAGCCCTTCTTGACGGCCTTGTCAACGTTTGCGAGCCATGCCTCGGCGGTTGAGTCGCTGGGCTTGTGCATCATGGGGATGAACATAGTGCCGATATCGTTGCTCTCGGTCTGTCCCCAGTTGTAGCCGAAGCCGTAGCTGCTACCGAGCGTAGAGCAGAGCGCAGCGTCGTTGTAGGCAAGACCACGCTTGGTGCCAGAGTACATGTTTCCAAGGCCGGGAGTGCCAGTGGGGAAGACACCACCAGCTGGGCTGCTGGCAGATGGAGTGGCCGAAGCGCTGGAGACAGGAGTCTCAGCAGGCTTGGATGGTGCCGGGGTCTCAGCGGGCTGTGAAGCCGCTGGAGACTCGGCAGGCTGGGATGAAGTGGAAGCCTCGGGAGTTTCGGCTGGGTACTCGGCAGGCTGGGATGAAGCGGAAGCCTCGGGAGTTTCGGCTGGGTACTCGGCGGGCTTGGATGGAGCAGCGTACTCAGCAGGCTTGGAGGGGGAAGCAGCAGCACCACCTCCGGGAGTGACAGTGACAGTGACCTTCTCCTTGGCAGTCACGGTGACAGTAGCACCGCAGCCGGGAGTAGTGGAGACACCGGCGACATTGGCCTGTGGAAGTCCAGAGTAAGGGGAGGGCTTGACGTAGACGGTCGTGTACGAGGTCTGGGTCGAGGTCGAAGTTGTGGCCATAGTGGTGGTTGGCTCACCATAGATGGCAGTGCCAGTACCAGCGGGAGCAGTGTTGTTGGAGGCACCCCAGCCACCAACAGGGTAGGCAGCGCGGTGGTGGAACTTCTCGTGCTGGAAGTGAGGGACGGCGGCTACAGAGCCAGCCAGAGCCAAAAGGCCGGTGATCTTGATCGAGGAAGACATGTTCGGTAGTTGTCGTATTTTTTTGGTGGTTGAAAACAAAAGTTGCTTGTTTGTTATTTCAGGCGTTTGCACACGTGCTACTTTGAGGGTATCGATTGAGCAGTTATAAGCAGATGCGGCTAACCTGAGCGCAAACAAGGGATTGTTGACGTCGAGCAAGGAACGTGACTGTCAAGTGGGGGGACAAGAGAATGTACAGAGCAAAAGATTGCTCAAAAGGAATGGCAGGCAACAACCGAGTTTGTGCGAGCGAAGGAGTGAGGGTGAAGGAAGGGGAAAAGGTTGGGGATGCGGGTGTGATTTTCACCTTATATTTGAGCGGGGGGCCAGATATGGACGCTCGATGGTCGTGTAGGCATGCCCCCCAGCCTAGTCTGCGCGGATTTGGAAGCATCAGACTTTTTTAGGTCAAGCCCATGTGCCAGGGGGTAGGTGGAAATAGGGTGCTTCGGCCAGTCACAGCACAGGAACAGCGCGAACGGCTAAGTGTAAGATGGTGGCTTACGTTCGCAAGCTAGCAAGCAGAGCTGGCGTGTTTCACGTAACCGCCACTCTCAGGTACACCCGCTCCCCATGGCATAACAGGGGGGCCGAAAGAAGATGGTGTTTTCGTATACGGGGTTTCTGGGAGTGGCCAGCCTTGTCTGCATGTCGCAGGGGGGTTGCGGTGAGTCTACGGTGCATAGCCATAGGGGGCACAAAGACAGCGGATGCGGTGCGCTGAGTGCGTGAGAGTCTGACTGTTTGCATGTGGGTAAAGGCATGTCGTCAAGCGGGTGTGTGTTTGCTCCACTCGCAGGGCAGGACTGTGAGTGTGAATCCTTCAGCCTCCTCGCCCCGGCGAGCTGTTAGGGGCGGGGCCGCTCGGCGGCGGCGTGGAGCGATCGACTATTCTAGACACTGGGCTTTCATCTCCGGACGTGTTGACGGCTCTGGGTGTTTGACCATGCACATGTTGAATCAGAGATGACGAGTCGCGTCGGGCTGCTGGAGAGTGAATCTGGGGCCGGGTGTGAGGAGAGGCAAGCTCAAGGCGGGCGGTGGCTGGACAGTGCGGCCGAGAGGCGCAGTGCAAGAGTGTTGGTGACGGGGCGGGTTGAAGGAGCGAGTCAGGCTGGTTGGTAGGACTAGGAAAGATAGGCTGGGCATGTAACACTGCAGTCGGCCTGCCTGTCCCTTTGTCGTGCAGATGGTGTGTTGCGTCGTCAAGTTTGTATCGCTCGCGAAGACAGGCAAGAAGAGACGAGTCGAGATGAAATCAGATGAGACGACACAGCATACGACTACAGGCGAACGTTGCCATGCGCGACATCTGCTCTCGTTGCTTGTTCCTAGAATACCAGCCAGCCAGCGCCGACACCTTGGCCACCCTGTCCATACCAGCGTGCCATTATTCCCTACACACGTCTGCGCCGACGTCATCATGGCTCCGACCCGCGCACTTGCAAATCTCTGTCCCCATTCTTGCATCCGAGTTTTGCGCTCGAGAACTGTCCCCCCCAGTTTTCAGTTTCTGTTCCTTGTTCCCGTCTGGAGAAGGGCTTCTTGGGCTTATGCGTCGTGACTGCCCGTGGGCTATCGATAAGCTGCACGCCGCCAAAGCGCCGGGCGTGCGCATTATTGCATGTCGATTCATAGTATTAAAATCTGACGGCCGGATGCGAGGCCTTCTCTTTCATTTCCTGGCACGTATTCAACAATTGCATGCAGGAGAGCGATGGGCCAAGCGGCCAAGGGCAGCGTTAGCGGCAACCCCCCCGGCGAGTGCCGAGCCACGTAATTGGCTCCACTTTTGCAGCCTTTGCTTTTTGCGCGTTCTAGACAAAAGCCGAACCCAAATACGACGCCACGCCCTGCCCTGCCCTGTCCATCCAACAGCCTTCGCCGCGTGTCTACGTAAATCTGCCGCCCTTGCCCTCTCCCGAAACAACGACGGCGCCCAAATGTCGCAAGAATGTCCACCCTGCATCTCCCGCCCTTGACCTTTGGCAATAGCGTCACATCGCCTTGTTCATCACCAAAAGCTTGTTTCTCCTTCCAGTCAAGGGCCCCCAAGCTCTCCATCCGTCCAACGCCGTGCTTGGGCTCCCTTGGCAATTGCGCTGTTCAGGAGACCTCCTTGGCAACTTGGCCCTTTGCTTGACTCGGGAGTCCGGTAATTAGTGTACTAGTATTACAAGAGCGTCGAGACTGTCGTCTGTGTGCATGTGTGTGTGTGAAGGGGGTGAAAAGAGAGTTTGATGCCAATCTTCTCAAGTAGCCATACTTTCCTCTGCCTCGTAGCATTTGCATTCTCCAACACACACAGTAGCAAGACAAAAATAGTCCTCTTCTAGTCATGTAACCCTGGCAGTGGTACCTCGTAACCCTATGCACCCATCTCCACAAGAAACACTTGTCTTGGTTTGTTTGTCGCTGTGTACCTTTGACAGTTGTCGCTGGCATACTACGCTGACCTCTGATCCAACTTTGCTCTCTGGCCCCCTTCCTTCCGCAACTTCTGAGACAGAAACACTGCCTTACTCCTTTTCCCACCATCTTGTATAATCCTACCAAGCATTACCCGAGCACCCTTTATCGCACACAACTCCTCCCCTCATTCCGTATCCTTCCTTCCTCCTCACATACCCAATCACATCCCAGATCCTGCACTACTAGACACCCGTCTTTGCACCATGAATACCGGCCCTTGGACAAACACGTCACCTTCCCCTCAACATCGCAGGCTAGACAGTTGACTGCTTTTCTTCTTTGTGCAGGCTGAAGCGTGCACGTTGAGTAAGGTGGGTAGGAAGGAGTTGGGTGTAAGGGGGTGTTATGGGTGGGTGTGGCGGTTGATAGGGTCGTAATGGTTAGTGGAACGACAAGGAAGAGTGTGGTAAGGGAGGGATACATGATAAATGAATTCTTCCTCAAGAAAACGTATGCATTCACTAAGCAGAGGGTAGATGCGTAATTTCGATCTTGTAAATAAAATCTCTAGTTACCGTATATCACTCGTTTCTATATTGACACAAGCACCACGTCACATTTCATAGCCCACGAACGCCAAACACCCCATGCCTACCACGTAACCAACTTCTCTTCACACCCAACATACCCGTGAATACCACCCATTCAAATCCGTATCTCCGCCGCTTTCCTCAACCGATTCATAACCGCAGCAGCTATATCATCCCCAGACTTATCGTCAATACCCTCAACATATATAATCTCCACACCCTTCTTGTCCAGATCTCGCAGTGCAGAAAAGAGACCTCGTGCAATGTCTTCCGTCTTCGCACCCAGATTAATGTCCCATACGTGTATGGCCTCAGGCGGTACAATGTAATGGTCAGACTCGGGGATTTGGTGTTGCATGACTGATCGGACGAGATTGGACTGGCGTGGCGAAGGTACATCGGTGCTTACAGGAGCTTCGGTTTGCGGTGTAGAGCAACCCCATCCGTCTGGATTTGCCAACTGCACTTTCTCGGCATTCAGGCCCAGAGCGAGTTTCCAATCCTTTGTCCTGACAATGCCGATCCTGCTCTTGCTTCTCAATTCTTCAGGTGTAGGCTGCTCGGCGCCTGCTTCAAAAAGAAGAACAGACGCCTTCGGGCTATAGTGTCTGTACTTCATTCCTGGGGCTCGGGGTTTACTCGAGTCCTCTGCCTGCTTATCCTTGTATCCAACCACTACATTCTCCCACCCAGGACATTGTCGCAGCTGTTCTACCGTTACACCGCCTGGTCGCAATATCGCCGGTGGACTAGACAAGCCATCTACCACTGTACTTTCGACGCCCACTTCGCATGGCCCACCGTCAATTATTCGTGTTATCTTGCCGTTCAGGTCGTCGTAAACATGCTCGGCGGCTGTGGGGGACGGACGGGTCGATGCGTTCGCAGAGGGAGCAGCAAGAGGGCGTCCACATAGTCGCAAGAGAGACAAGGCAATCATGGAGCGTGGCATTCGTGCGCCAAATGTCGAAAGGCCTGCCGTGACCTCTGGCGCGAGGATCGAAGTCTCTGGAGTCGGAAGGATGAGGGTAAGTGGACCAGGCCAGAACCGCTCAATCAATGGTCTGTAGATCTCTGGTATGGGGTCCTTGCCATTGATCTTCCCATCGCCTGTAATCTCCAACTTCCCTGACAATAGTGCGCGAAGTTGTGGTAAAGAGTGTACGTGGACAATCAGTGGATTATCGGCCGGTCGCCCCTTGCGAGCAAAGATTTCTTTTACAGCCGAGCTTCTCGTCGCATCTGCTCCAAGCCCATACACTGTCTCGGTAGGGAATGCCACGGGCACATCCGTCTCCACCAGATCGCGAGCCGCTGCTTTGAGATTACCGAAATGATCATCAGCACTCGCTGACTCGTCATATTCAATGTGCCAGTCGTCGATCAAGTCGTCCGTCTTTTTGAACGAAATCTTCCCCAGCTTTTGGGGATCCACCGGCTGAATCTTGGTCTCAGACATGGTTGCCACGAACTGCTTGTGCGTTGGCGGGGCGTTGGTAGTATTGGGCCTGGCAAGTTCAAATCTCTTTGGCTTGGACAAAGCGACGGTTTTTCTCAGCGCGGTATATGCGTTACAATGGCGCACTCGTATAGCAAATTGCGCCAGACAACGTACAGGAGCGAAGTATAAGAAGACTTTCTTGGGCTTGACATTTGGTATGCGGGGAGTGCGCGTGGGCATAAAGGTGATGACTGGAGAGCGATGCCAAAATTTCTCGGAACGCAGTGGGGCATCAGTTCCGATCCTGGCGCGTGATGTCACAAACTTGAGCCAAAGACCAATTTCAGCTTGAATGTTGTTTCTCGTATCGCTTGTCATATATACATTTGAAGTGCTAGTTCTAACTCTCAAAAATTATTCATACATTACGTCCCAGACGTGTTCGATGCTTCTTCCCAGCAATTCCATCAAGCCTCATCCGTATAGTAGTAGACCTTGCCTTCGAATATACGTCGGGCTGTCCGAGAAACGATACACCTGTCTACATACGCGAATGATTCCGAGCTTGTACACAAAGCATCAACACTGATTTGTCCACTCGGGTGAGCAAGGGTGACAGTCTGTTGTTTCGGTAGTAGATTGGATGTGCTCTCGTCCGAATCTGAGCATGGGCTTGGTGTACGCTCGGGCGTTGATTGCCACGAAGACTGTCTTCTAGCATCCTCTGCGAGTTCGTGTGCAATTGTTCCTTGGATGCATACCGCTGATGCTAGACATGCCGCGCCTGTAAGCTGCAGACTCGGGTGAGGCTTTCCCATGCTGAATGCCTGGACATGAACGTCTGGAGTTCCGGATGGACCACCTGGTTGAGGAGACGATAGAATGGCCAACTTTGGCGTACCTCGGACTTTCGCCGCTGCAGCTACGTTCGGAGCGAGGCCCATCATCACAGCACCAACACGCCGAATAGACTCCATTTGCCCAAGATAGCTTGCTGAGTCTTTGCTTCCCGTCTTGAGATTTGGCGGTAATGTCCTCTCGTCCACGAGAATAAAGGGATTGGCGGCATCAATCAAAGTTGCCTTGACTGAAAACTGGTGGCCATCGTTCCCCTTGACATCAATCGTATCGCAGCGGTTGCCAGTGGGGAACAGTTTTCCGGTCATACTACCCGCAGGCTCGACAAAAGCAACCTTTACTTCGCTACCAGTGCCCTTGACTCCCGGAATTGCGTAGTCACCAGACTCCTCATAGGATCCGTCCTCATCGACTTGGATAGTGTCAACAATGATTCGCGATGTGTTTGTGTTAAATATCCGGACATCAAGCTAGATTGCGAATCAGCATTGAACCTTGGGTTCCAAAACGATTAACTTACAGTTCGCTCCCCGGGACTAGCACGAACCAAACCTTCTTGGAGAGCAAATGGTCCAACGCCTGAGCACATGTTTCCACAGTTGCCGCTAAAGTCTACCGCTTCTTGTCCTACAGCGACCTGCACAAACGTATAATCCACATCAACGCCCACTCTTGTCGATGGTGACACAACAGCAACCTTTGATGTCGTCGATGTTGCTCCGCCTACACCATCAATCTGCCGAGCATCTGAACCTTGCGAGCCCATAGCTGCGAGTAGAGGCTTTACCCAGTCCTTCTCTGAAGCTGGCAAGTCATGGCGGTGAATGAATAGACCCTTGGAGGTACCCGCACGCATTAGAACAGCGGGTAAGCTGCGTCGGACCCTTTTCGGAGCTCTTTCGTGCGCCATTGGAAGATCTGGCAAGCGTATGGGTAGAATGTGAGATACAGTCGAGAGTCTTGCTTTTTGAGTATGTGATAATGTAGAGAGTGACCGAAACATCTACACCAACTGTACGCTAAGACGTAACTAAATGTCTCTGTCGGTATAAAATCAGAGGATTGTATACCCAGTAGTCTCAAAAGAGGGTACATCCCATATATAACTATGGAATCCATGAGGCAGATTTTGATGACCATTGATGGGTATGATACTTCTCATCCCTGTATCGACTCCCGCGGGAAGTGTTGGTGTGAGGCAAAGCCGCGGGAAGAAAAGGCCGAGGTTTAGCCGCGGGCTCAAAATACTGGGGCTCAAGGGAACGCAGCAAGCCTTTGCTAGAAATCTAGCCAACTGACATCCTACTTACATATCCCACTCCAGGTTCGGAAACCGGTCCAATTCCGAGCTGTTAAAGCCATAGAGGAGATCGTCCACGGTAAAGGTGTTGTCGCCGAATAACGGTTGCTGACCTTGAAACATCCAGCTGCCGTTATTATCGTACGCAATATTGCCGCCGTCATTTTGTCCATTGTAGGATGTCGCAGCTGGCATTCCAGCCATAGAATTTGACCACTGTGATTGTACAGGTAAATTTGCATGTGGAAGGTTAGCATTACCAGCTGCATTCGTTTGCACTGGCAGAGCGTTTTCTTGTTCTCGCTCTCTAACAAAGCTTTGGATAATACCATCAATATCGATGCTTTTCAAGCTGGGCTCACGGCCTACGGAGCTACCAGCTGTTGTATCTGGGGTACTGCTCTGACCCCTGTTGTCAGTATCCCTGTCAAGTAGAGCATCGTTTGGATTCAACGTAGTAACTCCCATTCTCTTCATCAAATTTTGTACAATCGCATTGGCGCGTCGCACGGCCCAGTTTGTTTCTTGATTCTCGCGGAACACTGCCAAGCAGGTCTCGAGGTTCCTATGAGCAGGAGACCTAGGTCCACGTCTAGCGGCAATGCGAGCGAGGATAGTCGCAGCAACGTAAGTAGCATACGAAATCAGGTATGGAGCTCTTCGCACACTGAAAGCTTTGTGGTATACTCGCAGGAGCTTTACAATATCATCTGCCGATGTTGCACAAGCCATGAAAGAATTAACAGAAATTGCACGTGAAGTGTTGTAGAGATGCCCATCGGCAACGAATGGACGATGCAATAGGATCGTGAGAACGTTGTAAAGGGCACTGTAACTTATTGAGTACATTGAAATGGTTTCTCGGAATCTTGGATACTTACTGTAAGCTGAGTACGTGTGGCGGTGGCGTCACAGAAACCTTGTGTGCGTCTATAGCAAGATGCTCGGGTAAGTTTTGTCGCCATGTCGTTAGCTTTGAATGGATACTTTCTAGCCTAGACGAAAGCTCTGCAGGGCTTGAGTCAGAGCTTCTTTCGGTATATATTGTGCTGAGGATGTCACTCAGAATGACCGAGAGCTGGCAAAGATGCCGAAATGTGGAAACGCTGTATGCCGGTGAGCCCAGGTAAGTTGAATCTGACTGCGTAGAGTACGCAAAAGGTGTCCAATGCTCAAGTTCTTCATACGTGTCTTGGAACTTGATCGGGACAAGAGTGTCTGACTCCTTGATGCTGACGGGTCGGCCCTGATACAAGCTCTGGATTTTGTCGATGACTGCCCTTCTGGTCAGCGATATCAATCTTCACGCAATGATGATGTTTTTACCAAATGCAGCCCAAAATACGCGTCTCCGGATTTCGTAGTCTTCGTCAGACAATCGGCGACTGCCAGCAAGGTGTGGGGTATCTACGTGGATACCAAGATCAACTATCATACGAAATGCCAGACCTGCATAAATCCATGCAGCGCTGCGTTCATCCCCTAGGGCGAAGAGTGAGTTGGTCATGACTAGCATGGCTTGGATCGTTGTGATTTCACTTCTGTCCAGAGAGCCGCCTAGAAGCTCACGTACTCTTTCACGAAACTGCCAGCCAGCAGTGCGTACATCATCTGCTACTCGGCGAACTTCGTGGCGTGGGCTGAACTTGGCTGCACCAAAGTAAATAGCATTCAGAAGGAGTTTGGAGAAATAGGGCCCACCACAAGCCATGTCACGCATAAAGGCTGGGCGATAGGTTGCAAGAAACGAGTGATGTTGTCGGTTCCAGTGTAAGGATAGCAGGTGCATCCCCAGCTCAGGCTCAACACCATCAAAGTCGAGTTTCCCCTGGCGAAAGTTTACAGTCTCAAGTTGGCGCTGGCGCGCAGCTTCGGCAACAAGTCCTCTTTCAACCCATTCGTCAGGCATCTCCGGGTGCGCCTCAGAAGCGGACTTTTCATGGGGACCTTCATCGAACAAGGTGCTTGTCCTCCCATGGTAGCTGGAAGAGCCATTCGCAGTGATAACAATGCGCGACACACTCTGTGGTGTCGAAGAACCAGCTTGGGCAGGAGATTGTGTAGCAGGACTAGGTGCATCTACAGGCACAACCGACTCTGAAGCTCTTTCTCGTCGTGGCGTCTTACGTGGACGACTTGATGCTTGATGGGCATCGTCTATGGGCTCATAATGGCAAGTTACCCCATGCGTTTTGCAACTCGCGCACACAGGTTTCTCAGCACTGCACTTAATCTGTGGACTTCAGTATCGCGCTCCATGTTCCATTAAGCGCGTACAAACACACCTTCCTCCGACGGCAGAAGGTACAAGCCTCGGCAGCCCTTTTGCGTGGACGGCCCGTCTTGGTGCCGTTGCCGCCCGTATCGGCAGTGCTCATCGCGATGGCCGTCCAAAAAAAGTAGCTCACGGGTACCTGTGGGTATAATTCAAAAACAAGAAATCGTATTTGCTGCCAATTGGGAGAGGACGGGAGAAGAAAAATTGCCGCGGGTATGAAAGAGACTGGTGGCAAGGCAGGTTCCGCGGGATCGCATTAATTCCAATCCGGCAATCCGGGACTTGATCATCCGACCGTGAGCCTGGACCTTGTGACAATCTATGCTTAGCAGAATCACAACAGTAGTATGCAACTAGTAAATGTTTTACTTGATATACGAGTAGCATATTATTCAAGAAAGCTGAAGTATCCAATGTTGAGGTAATACGGATTACATTGAGTTGTCCAAGTCCGATACAAATATCTTACTAGGCATCATACAAAAAGACAAAGCCAAGTTTTCCCCATAACACAATAGGCCTCCTCCCAAGCCCAAGCATCAACGCCAATGCACCTACCCCACCAAGAAAAGCCGTAGTCCA